AACTCTCTGCAGACATTCTTTCCTACAACCCATACCCCAAGAAACGATTTCTCCACCCTCCCAGTCAAGTCAATGAGGGTTGTGTCTCTTGAGCCAAGAATATCCTAGAACCACTGGGACTGCCGGGGAGGAAATTAACAGAAGGGAAATCAACTCTTCGTGGAAAATACCAACAGTAAGCTTAACGGGTTCGGTCTCATGGAATATTACTGGTTCAGATAAAGGTCTACCATCTATGGCCTCAACGGCCAAGGGTGTATCTCTCAATTGGAATGGGATACAATGCTTATTAGCAAAAGTTTGGTCTATAAAGCTTTCTGCTGCTCCAGAATCTAATAATGCCATCGTAGCAATAAACCCCTTTTCCCAAGCTAGAGAGACAGGAATCAGAAGCCTATGGTCTTTTTTATTATGTATAGAGGACAGTAATGAAACACCCAAGGCCCGTCCTCTAAGGGAACTTAGGTGCGAGCGTTTCCCGGACGATTAGGGCAACTAAGACGTAGGTGACCTCTCAGCCCGCAGTATAAACAGAGACCCTCCCTTCTCCTGTACTGTCTCTCAGCCTCAGATAAGCGAGTATTACCTATTTGCATAGGTTCTGGTGGAGTAGGATTATAGGAGTCAGGGTTCTGAAATGAGGGAGCGAGTCTTACAGGAAGTCTAGTAACTCTTTCCCGAGTGTTCTGCCTCTGTCTCATGCGTTCATCTATTCTGGAAATGAAGGATACTAAATCCTCTAAATTTTCCGGAAGTTCTCTTGTGGCAATTTCATCTAGAATTTCATCAGACAACCCATTCAAGAAAACATCCATAAAAGCTTGTTCGTTCCATTTCACTTCTGCTGCCAATGATCTAAACTCTAGAGCATATTCTACAAGGGTCCTATCTTGTTGTTTAAGGCGTAACAGGGATCTGGCCGCATTAATCTTCCTCCCTGGGGGGTCAAAGGTTCTTCTAAAAGCCGTGACAAACGCAGTGTAGTTGTAGACTAAAGGATTGTCATTCTCCCAAAGGGGATTGGCCCATCTAAGTGCTTTATCTATTAGCAGGGTTATGATAAAGCCTACCTTAGCCCTGTCAGTGGGGTAAGCCCGGGGTTGTAGTTCGAAATGTATACTTATCTGGTTTAAAAAACCACGACAAGCATCAGGTGAACCCCCATATCGTAATGGTGACGTGACATGGGAAGATGCGCCTACAGTGGCTACTTCCAAACCAGTACTTAGCGAGTGGCTAGCAGTGGAACGTATTTCTTCAGACTGGGTACTGGAGCGTGTCAACAAAGTTTGTAATGCTAAAGCCATTTGGTCCATTCTATGGTCCATGGCCTCAAATCTGGGGTCAGGAGGACTAGCACCTGCAGGATCCATCATGGCCCTGTCGTAATGTCAGGAAACTGACAGGGATCCAATACGCAGAGTGCGCACAGAAGGAGGTACGTATACCGGACCTTAGAATGGCCGGACTAACGTAAGGACAAAGCAAGAATAGTCAAAAGGTAAGCCGAGGTCAAGGGAGCCGGAGGACAGGTAAGCGAGATACAAGCCGAGTCAAAGGAGAGGAGAGGACAACAGGACAAAAGACAAGCAAGGGTCAAAACCGGAAACACAAGATAAAGAACGCGCTGAGTGACTAGCAAGCTAGAACCACGACAGGGCAATGAGCAGTAGTAAAGGTTTCCTTTAAATACCCTGTAACCTAAATAGAGACCACGCCCCCAAAAGGTCCGGAATAGCGGTTCCCGGCACTTTATGCAAATGCCGACGTCATGACGTCGACGCTAGCCGTCGCGTCATAAAAGGGGGAGGAGCTAGCGCGGCCGGCGCGAAAACGGCCGGAATATGCCGAAATGCTAGGGGAAGGGAGCCCCTAAGCAGAGAGGATGTCCTCCCTGGATACATCACCAACAGGTACCCTGACAGCTACAAATTTACCGGTCTCTGGAATAGGCTGACTCTTTGTAGGTGTAACCGGGAGGCCTGGGACTTTTGCTAGAGCTCCATGACGCAGCGTGGACAGCTGCATGATCAGCAGTGTTTTTATTTTAATTTTAGTTCTATTTGCCTCAGTTTCTGTCCTTTTCACACGCTTTGGCTGCCTTTACCGCGCTATCTAGCGCAACACAACTGCGTGTACCCCTCCAGTAGGGCATTATCATTATATTTTACCTTCCATATTCCATATTACCTAGTAGGTTCCCCATATTCGCCCAGTCTCCTATTTAACATTGCGGAGCATACTCTCTCCAACATGTTTAATATACCAAACATGAATCTCTAGGCTGGCTTATATTCTTTGTCTGAGTATTAGTTATGTATTTTCCGCATAGACATGTTTACCTAGCTTATAATCCTTTGTGGTCCTTTACAAATACCGTATATACTCGAGTATAAGCCGACCCGAATATAAGCCGAGGCCCCTAATTTTACCCCAAAAAACTGGGAAAACGTATTGACTCGAGTATAAGACTAGGGTGGGAAATGCAGCAGCTACTGGTAAATTTCTAAATAAAATTAGATCCTAAAAAAATTATATTAATTGAATATTTATTTACAGTGTGTGTATATGATGAATGCAGTGTGTGTGTATGAGTGCGCAGTGTGTGTATGAGTGCGCAGTGTGTGTGTATGAGTGTGCAGTGAGTATGAAAGTGCAGTGTGTGTGTGAATGAATGTAGTGTGTGTGTGTGAATGAATGCAGTGTGTGTGTATGCTGTGTGTGTGTGATGCAGTGTGTGATGCAGTGTGTGTTTGTGTTGCAGAGCCTTGGTGGGGGGGTGGGCATTTTTATAAAAAAAAATTTAATATTATTTTAATTTGTTTTGTTATATTATTATTTTTTTTATTATTATTTTTATTATTATTTATATTATTTTAATATTATTTTTATTATTATTTATATATTATTAATTTATTTATTTTGTGTCCCCCCTCCCTGCTTGATACATGGCAGGGAGGGGGGCTCTCCTTCCCTGGTGGTCCAATGGCATTGGCAGTTCAGTGGGGGGAGGAGGGGGGCTGGCAGAGCTGTTACTTACCTCTCCTGCAGCTCCTGTCAGCTCTCTCCTCCTCCGCGCCGGTCCGTGCAGCTCTTCTCTCAGCTCACACTGTAAGTCTCGCGAGAGCCGCACTATGACCCCGCGGCTCTCGCGAGACTTACACTGGGAGCTGACCGAGGTGCTGACCGGACCGGCGCGGAGGAGGAGGGAGCTGACAGGAGCTGCAGGAGAGGTAAGCGCTCGCTGCCAGCCCCCAGTCTGTATTATGGCAATGTAAATTGCCATAATACAGACTGACTCGAGTATAAGCCGAGTTGGGGTTTTTCAGCACAAAAAATGTGCTGAAAAACTCGGCTTATACTCGAGTATATACGGTATGTGCTAATCGCCCATTGCCATTTATATATAAACCTCTGTTGACTACTACTGTGCATGCATATGCTATTGTGGCATTGTCAGCCCTTTTTTTATCTTTTGCACAATGAAAAATAAAGAATTAAACAAAAACAAAAAAAATCCTTCTTAAAGCAAATGGGTCAGTAGCTCTTGGCAATAGAGGGTATGATTAACCCTGTAGCGCAATAGGGGCTTAGTTACATAACAGTGGAGATACAGATTTTCTGAATTTGATGGCATCTACCTCGCTAGTTTCAGTAGAGTAATCTATTTTTCAAATAGCTCTACTTATAAACCTCATTCTATCTACATTTTAAACCTTGACGGGATGTTTTTACCCCACTGATTTGCCGAAAGGCGAAGCGCGTCAGGGGTTGAACATTTAGGGACTTGGAGGTTTTATCATATCAGGTTACAGAGAATCCTTTCACACAATAAGCATAGACTGTCCAGGATATAACAATGTTTTAGACAGTTTCTCAAATTAATCACTAAGAACCAGAAAAACAGCCAGGGAGTCTAACTAGATACTTTATATGGAGGCCAAATAATATGTACAATTGATCATCATTGGTAGGGAAGGGGACACTTACCTTTGTATTATTATTCACTCATAGAGAAACTTTTTATTAAAGGGTGCCTTCGAAGGCATGTTAGGTACAGTATATTGTGCATATGATTTATTTCTACACAGACTATATTCTGTCTGTCCGCAGCTTTAAATATTTTTTTGTTACTGGTTTCAATCTCCGTTTGCTACAATTATACTGTATCTTTTATGTTACTACTCTCAAATTTCCTAACTATCAAGTAAAGACATTCTCTGGAACACAGATTTACAGTTAATGAGTCACAGAGATAGGTCATCGGAGGCAGAGACAAAGATTGGAACCACAAGAAACCAGGAAGTGTCTTGCTATTATCCGCATTCATCACTGTCAATCATGTGTTTGTGGGCTGACTATGTTGGCACCATTGCATGAAATAAGCGTTTTTTTAATCTGTATAACAATATAACTGTGTGTAATACTGTGTCAATGGGGATTCCTGGTTTTGTCTCCTTCGGAGATTGTGCTCGAGATTGTGGATATCAAGCTGTGATCCATTCCCACTCAAAACTATTCACACCGGCTTTTCTTTCACACACAGCCAGGGTTGTTAGGGCTCTGGGAAATGTGAGTTTGATCACTATACATGTGTTTACCTTTTTTGGTTTAAGCGGATGGGCTGCATTAGATTTGTCATCTTTCACAGATCTTTTTGTAGATATTATTAATAAGCATGATCCTAAGCACAACACTTATTTTTTGTTTATTTGTCACAGTAGATGAGAACTGTCAACTTCCACTCTTACATTTGTGGATAATCCTGTAAATATACCCAGTTAATAGTGCAAATTGTCAAAAAGAAAGGGAGTTTGGGCCAAAGTAGCAGGTTTAAAAAAAAACATTTAAATAAATCTCCAAGTCAGTATTGTTTTCAGTTCAGCTATTTTGGCCTCAAACTTTTAACTTCAGACTGAATTCCTGACAATTCACACTTTAGTGAAGAACCCAGACAGTAACAAAAACTAATTCCCTGATTGACTCAGAAACCGAGGGAGGTAATATGAACTGATTATCACTGTCACAACAATAAACAGCCACCGTTTCATGAAAAAGTTTAATATCAGATGTATCCCCATTCACATGCTAGATAATGCCTCAAATCCAAAAAACAAAGCAATGGCAGTCAACAGATTTTGCCTGGAAGATGGAGAAACCACCTTGGTTAATAAATACACTTCTCCACATTATTAATAGGCATCAGCTATCGCTTATCACAGATCGATATTTCAAACAGGTGCATTGAAATACATACAAATGTGGTTATTCAACTTTTCCTTGGACAAAGAATTATAAGGGCACTAAAAGGGTGACAGCACAACAAATGCAGAAAGGGCTATTGTAACCCCAGGGTGAATTCAGTCCAATCAAAGTCTGTTGATGATTTCACTTTGATCCGTGTGTGCAGTTGTGATATCTGGTAGAAGGAGCTTGCTAGCACTCTGCTGTCGTCGGTAAGACATTGACATAAAGGGTCTTTGTATTAAGGCTTGGCAGAGCAACACCTTGTGATAATTCTAAGGGGAAAAGAACAAGAAAATTATTTCTGTGTAATTTGAAAATAAACATTGTTCAACCAACAGTGAATGTATATTCACACACACAAAAACAAAACAAAAAATTATATTTCAGAGAAATTAAAACAGAACTGCAGATTTTAGGGTGAAATATTCACGCTGGAAAACTGGTGGAGTTGGAGAACATTATCCCCTTTGAGAGTTCTCTCCAATTCCCAGTTTGGTGTTTTGGATTATTATGCAGCTCCACTGTCTTATTTATTTAAGTGAATACTAGTGTCTGAATTGGGAGTTAGTTATCCCTTACAGCTGTCTGTGCCCCTATAAATAAAACCCCTAATTGTCATGCATGTATTAACCATTACCCAATCAAATGCATGTATTATACATTTATACATCGTAACTAACCAAACAGAAAAGCTGTGGGTAATTAAAAATAAACAGAAAATTGAATAAGAGCAACTTAAATAGACTGCTCCATCATTGGGTACTGTGGATTCCAGCATCCTTGTAATTTTATATTCTACACATTTTGTATCCGTAGTGAGGGCCCCACAATGGATAGGTATTGTCGGTGCTAAGCCATTTTCATCTTTCTCTGGCCACTGACTGAGTTTCAATTTGTGTGAACAGTTCATTTATTCATGTTTTGCATTACAGTGTTTGATATTTTAGCTTATGTATACTGAGCGTGTTCCTTTTAGGTGTAACACCCCCTTTATTGGTTGTGTTATATCTTATATGCAGAGAGCATTTGAACATTTAAGAGATAAACCCCTTTGCTTATCGGCACTTGTTTTCAGCTAATTTGAAGCGTTGCTAGTGTCTTATTACGGACTATATTTGCATTTATTTCCTTGTTGCTTTCAGCAACTTTGGAATGAATTGTAACACTTTTTAAGGTTACTATGTATACATAATATCATTTCTTGTTTATGGTGCTCAGTACTACAGTGTGTGTGTATTGATTATAAAGTGTGATTTGAGTTATTTAATATCTTGGTGCGCTCTTACATTTTATGCTTTTCAATAGTAATCAACCAATAACATTTCAGGTCGTTGTCACAAATGAGTCCCTAAACACTTTATGGCATGACCAGCTTATTTAGCATTTGCATATCTATAGATACATTAAATTAATGGTATGTTCTATTTTGACAGGAATAATTTTGTTTTCAGACCTTAAGGAGTTAAAGATTATAAGTACGCAATTTGTGAATTGTACAAATTGTTACTAGAAGTAAAATGTGTAAAGGTAAACATTACTAGAGATAGTTGCTAAAAACTAAGAAAGATTGGAATTGGAAAGATGTATTTCATTCTAGCAATTGCACTTTGGATGGGAACTCCAATGGCAGTAATTGAATTCCGCCCCTGAAAATGAAATACACATATTGCAAAGATGTTTTTTATAGCATCGGCAGATTCGGCATCCCCTCAATGTGTCTCACTCCGCACAAAGACTTCGTGTCAAGCATGAAACCATATGTTGATAAGTGACAGCTATGCATTATACACTAACACTCTAAAGCCAGCCTGAATAAAAGGAGGGGATATTGCTGATACATGCTGAATGACACATGCAAAATGTAGAGTATCTGACAAAGCTCTTCCTCTTTATAAGCACACCAGAGGGAACTGTCCTATATACAAAGCACAGAGAAGGGTAGGACACCCTAGTATGATGCTAAAGTTAAAGCTTAGGTCTGTCTCCTACACAATGTATATAACTAGGAATGTTCATACTTCAACACACACACATATATCTCAGGGTCAGCTTCCTTTACATACACAATGTTTTTGCATTGTTAAATTGGCAGCTAATGTATAGATGCGATCAGCATGACAAGGGATTAGGAAAAATCCTATTTCATGCCAATCCAAATTAAGGTGTTAATGATCTACTTGTCTGAGGACCGGCAATGTGCGTAATGAATCTACCACCCCAAAATTCTATATACAGCACCCCACAAAGTCTGAGATACACACGAAGCATTGTGAGATGCTCCACGGAGCATTTAACAGCACATGGATACACATTCAGTGCAGCAGTCATATTTGTAGTTTTTAACCTAGGGAGCACCTCAACCAACTCAGCACAGCTGTAAGTATAATGGTGGAGTATCCGTTTTAATTTATTTTTTATGAAACTCTTTTTAATCAGCATAAAATGAAAAAAATATTAAAACAACACAACCAACCATGGCCTTCCCTTGCACACACAACCCACCCCAGCTGCACAAATAATGCGTAAACTACCCTGCATTATCAAATGCAATTCCATCCAAACTGAACAGCAATGACCGGGTGACAACCTAGGCTGTTAGGTTGAACGGTTGCTCGTTCTGGGTGCCAGGAAGACACCCAAAAAAAAAAAAAAAAAAAAGGGTGGGGTTATGGTGCCGAGTGCCCCTTGAAGACCAAGTATCTATAAATACAAACACATATATAGACCATCACTTAAATTATATATTTTTTTTAGGAATCTGGCTTTGCCAAGAAATGTATCGCTAGAACATGAAACCTAGGGTAAAAATAACTTTTGTATACAGACTACGGAGTTATGAAAACACATTTGACAAACATGCAGATTGTAAGATCACAGACTATATTACATAACTCAGTTGTATTCATTTTCTTGACCTGGAAAGATGGAAGACTTAGTTGACCTTTCTGTGATTCTGAAATACGGCAGCTGGTGTTCTGTGTACTGAGCTCTCGTAATTTTACACAACTATTTGTTTTTAACTATTCGTTCATCCTTTAACCCCTTAAGGACACATGACATGTGTGACAGTCATGATTCCCTTTTATTCCAGAAGTTTGGTCCTTAAGGGGTTAAAAACCCATTCAGATTAAATAAAAGATGTTCGAGAATATATAGTATAACTTATCTTGCAGTATTTCAGTTAGAGTATGCAATATTGGCTTTCAAGGAGAAATAACATTCACCAAATAAAGTAGGAGCGGAAAAAAAATAATGACTAAATAATAAAAATACAATAGCATTTTTATGTATGCAGTTTATGGGAACTGCGAAAGGAATATAAAATGAATGACTATAAGTGGGCATAGTGCCATGTACATTAGGTACAATTAGACCAACGATTTATACTATACACGACTTAGCAAGCTGTTACAGCAGACTGCCAATAATCTATATACCCTGTTCTAGGTAAATACAGCCCTCCCTCTGCTATTTTCAGGCATTCTGCAGGGATACAGAAGAACAGTGCGGCACTTGGAAGAGAAATTTATTTCTGGGGGGGGGGGATGAAAAAAAATGGCTTTATACTAAGATTTATACAGCAAATATGAAAGTGCACGTTACGGAAAAGAAAGTGTTAAGAAACTCAGCATTTGCACATGGAAAACAAATTGTAAACAATGAAAAAAAAATGGTACCTTTAAACTTAAAGATTCCTCTAAGCACCATCACAACTTTGCCAAAATCGCTTGAAACCACAATGTGTGCTCTCAGCTCTGAAAAGTTGCTTAGAACTATAGCTATGTTTAAAAACAGCAGGCTTCTTGGAATTTGTCCAACTTGAGTTGAGCTCTCTTTAGAGACAGATGTAAGCTGCAGATGTGCATAGCATGGCTATGCTGATCAAGTATAGATGATCACATTTTCCTACTCACCTTCATTCAGTGCTCTATCAAAGAACAGTCTGAACCGTCGGCTCCGGAGCCCAAAAACTTTAGCTACTTCATGGAGAAGCCCTGTGTAAGTCAGACCATTCTGGCCAACGGGATTTTCTAAAAGCAGTGTCCCTGAGAAAGAGACCATGTATAGATAATCATTATATGCTTATTATACCTCCAATCTATCCAAATGGAAACTGTGTGTAGCATTCTCTGCTTTACCTTGCTTATCCGTGTCCAGAAGGCTTAGGTTCACATACTGGCAGACAACTGGGCTTCCTAGTTTAGACATATCTGAGGGAGATCCAGATGTAATATATAGAGTCTTCCCATTCAAGCTCTGCAGGTTGACATCAAGCAGCTCTGGAACACCACAAAGACATGTTTATTCACCTCCCTCTTCATTCTCATTTCTTATTTGCGGTTTTATCCCCATATTTAAATTATAGAGCACAGCGGGATCTCTCGATGTTACATATATGCCAAGAATAACAACAATAATTTATAGAAGGATAGGTGAAAACACAAAAGTTGTGCATAAATAGAACCTCTCTCCAATCATGTTTATGACAAGTAAATCATAGACAAAGACTTGCTGTAAAGAAAATTTAATTCTAGTTATCTTTGGATGTATGGGCCAAAAGGTAAATTTAATTCTAATTATCTTTGGATGTATGGGCCAAAAGGTAAATGAAGGTATTAGAAAAACTGGATCTGGTCAAGCAAATAAAAAGAATGACAGGTGGGAACGTTAGTCATGTTAACGTTTATATCATTACCTACCTTTAGTCCCATTATAAATGGTCAGCTGGGTAGTCTGCAGTTTGAATATCCCACAGACAGCATTTTTTAGCTCACGAAGGCTAGCTATGGAATCCCCTTTTGGGTTCTCCAACAGAAGAAAGCCCCCTGAAATAACACACCAGTATATTGTTACAGAAAAAGAGAAAACTATTCTGTAATGTGTAAGGGGGGGGGGGGAATTAAGAAAAACCAGAAGAAACAAATTTAATATTTACAGAAGCAACACATTGAGAAATTAACAACAATACTAGCAGAAGGCACACGGTGAGTCAACAATCCTTCTGCTAAAATCATTGTAAACAGCATTCACTTATCAATTTTCTTAATATTTAAATATGTAGTTAGAGAAAGAAAAAAAAAATATGTAACAAGCCATTGCCTTTTTCAATAATGATTTGGCCAGTTGAGTGTTACTGCAGGGATGGAAGCTGAGACATGCAATCCCAAAGGAAGTTAAACCAAGGTCACGGATATAATGTTTCAGTTCTTACTTTGTTCTGTACCATTAACAGCTATCTGTAGATTGACAAAGGTGCATGCTGGTCCAGAAGCCTCTTCTGCAGCCTCCGATGATCCTTTCACTAGTGTTATTTCCAGATCTGAGCCTTTCAACTGAAGAGAATGGATAATAGATAGAAAGCATGAACCTTACTTAATGTTTGCAGAATTCAGAAGCTAGAAAAACAAAGCAGGAGGCATTTTTTTTTTCTTTTTTAAATTACTGCAAGGATAGAAAAAGCAGCAGATTTGCCAATATTTAGCTTAGAGCAGCAACATATTAACTAATTATAGACTTTAGAAAAAAGTACCTCCAGAAAAGAGGTTCACAACTTTTACTTAAACTTTACAGATTACAAACCAAATGGCTATGAGTGAAAATGTAATTATTGGGGAATAAAGTGAGATATTTAACAAATACATTTTAGGTATAACTTTATTTTACATTTACTATTTTACGAGCGTATCTTATGGTTTCAATCCCAGAATTTTAATTGGCTGCTTGGTTGATGGCAGAGGTCATAAAAAAATAAACATTAAAAAAAGCATTTAAAAAAATAATTAAAAAATAAAAACGAGAGTCCAACCACTGAAAAACAATATATATTTTCTGAAAAGGCTAACTGAGCAACAAATGTCTGAACCCCTTTTGAATGGGAACTGCATTTTAAGAAATGGACAAGTAACGCATTAGTAAGTTAAAAAGGCTACAAACTACGTACCTGGGTCGTTTCCTTAATAATAACTACAGATGAGGCTGGCACTGGGTAAGGTTTAAGCGGAGACTTGACAGTGGCTAAAATGAAGTCCGTGTGCCTCTCAATTACAGACTGCAAGTAATCTCCTTTGGGCTGCGACTGGTAGTAGATGGTGATGTCATCAGTGGGAACTAAATTTCCCTAGAAAAAAAAGTATCAAGGTTAAGATGTCAAGTATATCAACTTACCATAAGAATTGTAAATAAATACTCTGATTAGAATTAAAGAGAGACAATTGCAGGTACTGTATTCGAAAACACAGAAGACAATGTACCATTAACAAATTAACTAACAGGCACTTAATGTAACACATCTATTAATCTGCTGTGCCCCAGATTAAGCATTAGATGGATAAATGAACTCATGTGAGTCATACACACACACTTCCAGACATTTGAGAACCACTATTCCATGCACAGCCATCCCACAGTTTAGCCATCATGTGGATGGATATTTTAGTTGCTGCCTTAAAGGGACACACTGCTGCCCAAATCCCAATAAAGAAATAAATCTATCTATATATCCCTGTTTCGTAGTGATACCGCAATGAAAACAAGCAAGGTTACATATAAAAACAGCTTGCAAAATCTGCAAAAATTGCAAAATCTGAAGATCTCGTCTGCAGTCTGTGCAAGCCCTTCCCTTCTAACCCTGCCCTGACTTTCTGTGTCTGTCCAATCACAGATTTCCCAATGCAGCTTAATTAGAAGACTTTGCAGGCAGGTACACTGAGCAACTGCCTGACTCTTGAATCTAGCTCCACTGAGCTAATCAAACCAGATTGGTTGTTGGACATCCAGGGAGTGTAACAAAGCCAATTTATAAAATTGCACAATTCTATTAAAATTTGAACCTTCTGTTAAATGGGGGGAAAAAAAAAAAGCACACACTCTTCACACATAAAGCACTTCAGCAAGCTAAAGTGCTTTAAGGGTCTTAACTGGATTTTTGTAATCTCTGAGGTGAGTGGAGACACTTCCCCAAGCAGGGCAAACCTCCTCCATGTATTTTTCCAGCGTGCCGGTGTCTGAACGGAGCGATGTCACATCACTCCGTTCCTATACTCCTAAGCCAGCAATTAATGCACTGGCTAGGGAGTTGCCATAGCAACCACAGCACATCCTCTCTGCTATGGGTGGAGAACAGAGGGTCTTCTGCTTTGCCTGTCTCTCAAATCTTCGGCATTGAGTGGCTGCCGAGGAATTGAGAGACAGATGACAGAATTATTATTTTTTTTAAACTAACGTTAAAAAGGGTTTCCTCTCAATATATCCATTTACTGGAAAAAAGATATCATTTTATGCTCAAGCTAATGAGCATAAGGTATTTGGGGCGTGACAGATTCACTTTAACCTACTATAAAAGATACACTCCATTATTGAGATTACTAAAACTCAATGCTGTAAACTATAAGAGATTTGACAATTATAGTGAGATCTGTCTACAATAGGTCTTTTTGCAAAATAAATATATTTCCTTTGACTGGGTTATGGCTCTTAATGGGTTAGAAAAGTTCATATTTTAAGCAGCTTGAAGTGCCCCTACTTTTAACTTTTTCAAGTCTTGAAAATGCCATTGCGAGAAACAGCAATTATCTGATAGTGTAACTACAAGAGAAGCAATTATTCCAAACCAAATTACATTTTCATGAGTAGTTCTAGGTCTTATTTTCTTTAGAACACAATGAAGAGTATATGAACTCTGTCTGGGTCTCTAGTATGTAACCAAGGGTAATTTAGCTAGGAAGGAGCCATATGTTAACGTTAAGAAGCCTGCTTTGGTTTGTCCAGGGCACAAAGAGTCCTCATTTATAAAAACATACCGTATGCTTAAAATTAACCATAATATCCATGAGCAATGCTGAATTAAAGGGTGGATCTGCAAACTTGTGGGAAAAAAAATAAAAATCACGTTTTGGGTCAATGACAGCAGAACAAATGTCCAACCTTTTTCCTTAGTTTCTGGATGCGGTTAATCACTTCTCTTGCAACACCTTCATCCACCATAGATTGGTCTGGTGTAACATCCAGTAGAACCAATACCTGTTGTGAGAAAAGAAAGTTGAGGAGCATGAATGAAAAGGCAAAAAAAAGACATTAAAAATATTGAAAAATACAATGGCACAATCGGAGAGCTTTTGTTCAACCTCTATACCAGATTTATGTGATAAGGATATCTGTTATAAAAAAAATCAAATCAGAATGTTAACAGCTAGAAACGTGTCTGAGAAAATATACCCACGGTGTTCACCTTACAACATTCTCTGAATAAATGTCTACATCATATTACCTGGGCATCAGAATGAGCTTCAAACTGTGCATCACCTCCTGCCACCTGATCAAAGGTGTATAGTAAGCGGAGGTCCTCTTCATGAAGCTCCTGCCCTTCCACTAGTATTGTGCCTGTGGGTAACACAAGTAAATTTTACTACACATATATAAAAACAACATCTGTTTTCCAGTAAAATCAATCCTTCACACCTAGATATACAAGCACACAGACTTGGAGTACACATACACGTACCTGTTTTCTGGAACTCTTCCAGCTGATCACTTTTAAGTTCCTTGATAGCAGACATGACAGATTTAAAAGCCCCTTTCAGACGTTTTCCAAGTACCATATGGTCTGGTTCAGCTCTTAAACGGATCCCATATTTGTCCTTGTTGGTGGACACGGTTACTTGCCTTACATTCAGCTCCTGCAGAGTGAAGAAAGTACGCCGGACATTAGACGTTGGGGTGTTACAAGATCACCTTTAAACTAAATATTATTAATTTGGTGTCTCTGATTTGTACAGGTCAGAAAGGCTGAAGTTATTCATCATCCACCTATTCGTTTTATATGAATGCAAAAAAAAAAACATGGGGCGGGGCCTGGCTGCCAAACTGAAAGGCATGCAGTGTGGGCTCTGTACAAAAGTTGACAATTATCACCTAAAAACAGTATTTCGAAAGCAAACAAACAGCTAAATTTGTGCTGATACCTACCTGCAAGCTACCCTGCTACAGCACAAGGGTTTCCAGGCGTCCGACAAGCAGATTGAGCCCACACCGCCACTGGGGCCTACCTCGAGGTGAGAGCCTGGGAGAAGCGGCCGATCTCCCTACTGCCTCTCCGACCGGAACAAGCTGACGTTATACGGCTCTAAGACACGCTTTTCATGGTAGTAATCCTTTATTATCAAGCGATATGTCTTATTTTCACCTCGGTTTTACCTAACTAGTACAGGCTATAACTTAAGACATAAGTACCTAACCTGCAATTTATTAACAAAAAAATTGTGTCATTCTTGCATGCCATAATACTGTATTCACTGTATTACTGTTTTTGCTTGTACATGCTGTTGTGGCGATACGAGCTTGTTTATGTTACTCAAGCACTGCAAAAATAAAGATTGACAAAAAAAAAAAAACCATGACAGCAAAGCTCTAAGATATACCTATAACAAATGAAAAATATACTTATTGTGCTACAATTATCTTCCCTCTAGCAATGAAAATATTAAATGTCATATCACTAATTATATAAAGGAACATTCAGGCCCATGCACAAGTAAGTTGACATTTTTATGACATGGAATGGTTGTGGATGCTGGAACCCCTTTTCTACTCACCTCCACAATGTACTTCTCCAAGGATTTTATATCAGATAGGGCTTCTGGGTCCTGGTGGATGACAATCACTTCTTTCAATGGATACTGTGAAATAAAGAAGATTGGTTGCAAAATAGCTGTGAATGACATGGTGTGACACAAGCCTTTTATCTGCACATGGCATAGTCACAAAAAAATGACCAAGAAGAAATAAGGCAAGATTACTTTGACTGGTAGGGTCTTCCGGTCACGAATCACTCGCCCAAGCTCAATGACTGACTGCATGTGGGACACAGCACTCTCAATCTTCTTGTCAATCAAGTTCTCTCTTGATATAAAGAAAGAAAACATATAAATTGAAGTTCTACACACATACAATTCAATATTGAGATTTAACCTACGGAGCTAAATTGTTAAAGCAATAGAACTGGGTTCATGGTCCAACAAATCCCATGGTTGTCTCACATCATATACCACAATTCAGTTACTGTGCATTGAGATAATTTACCTGCCTGCAGGTAGCATGAGGTAATGAATGCTCTGCGTGTCCTTATCTTGCATTGAGGTTGGATCAATCAGTAGCCTTAGCTTTTGATACATCATTTCGGTGATGAATGGGGTGAAGGGGGCCTGTGTGAGTTATAGAAACAGAATAAGATTGTGTTAACAAGACAACGTGAAGACTAAGAACGAAGATATTTCTAACGTCACTCAAAGTAAACTCAAAGAAAATTTCATATTTTAGGACAATATATTCAAATTGGAAAAAATCCTTAAGGTTAACTATGCTATTTTAGCCTAAAATGTTATTTTCTGTTAAATCACAATTTTCAATAACTGACAATGTTCTTAACACAACAGAATGTAACAGAATGTAATTCCTCACCATTAACCTGCACATGGAGAATAGAATGCTGAACAATGTCTCCAACGCCATCATACAGTCTTCTGTGCTGTTCTCACCCTAAGGGAAGAAACCAAAGATAAGAATGTATGGCCAAAGATTGATGCCCACATCCACAAAGAGCTATATCAAGGCAACTAGTTATTCACCAAGTACACCAAGTACAGGGAATATGCATTGTGTTCTGCAAGGTTTGTGTTTACCTATTTGCCAAACAAAAGACATCTTACCTTTAATCTTCTGCGATTCATCCTCACATACCAGTTTGTGAGCATGTCTACAAACTTTACAAGTCGAGGAACCACAGTGTACAATTTGTATTCTGAAAGAAAGAATCTCAATGAGATCTTGCAGGTCTTTTCACTTGGTTCTCATTTTTTACTATCATAGGAAGACCTTGGTGAACTATGCTCAGAGGAAATCCCCTTACCTGACATTTCAGACTTGAAAAACTGGATGAGTGATTGAGTGAAAGAAATAATCCATTTGTCCATGATGTTGCTGCTTGGCTTTGCAGTGTTCTCATTAAACAGGAACTGGACGTTCTCTTCCTGAGGAGCAAAAACATAACTTTTTACTTATACTTCAAAGGTGACTTCAAGCACCATGAAGTGCCTGGAGGCTATCTGTATGTGCAGCATTCACACAGCAAAACGCTGCACACACACACAGAGTTGAACCCCTTTGCTGCTACAGGTGTAACTCCACCTCTGGTACTATATTTGGGACACTAACAACCAGCCAGAACCAGTGTTCATGGTTCATAGCTGGATAATATCTGTTCTGTGCATATTGGACTTTTGATGTCTGCACACACAGCATGCAGATGACGTGTCCAATGGCGGCAAGCTCCCCCAGCCCCCTCCTCCCCCGGCTGTCCACGTCTTCCCCTTAACCTGTCGTCCTCCCCCCCACAGTGAGGGGGAGAAACGACAAAGGAGGAGGATCAGCCTGTAGCTAGAACTTAGCCTTTTTTGGTTTGCTTTTTTGCAGTAAACCTTTAAAAATTCTTCAACAAATATCACTCTTGCCATTTAGATTCCTCCTGCTGTTAGTAGGATACAGTCATTATGGGCTACATGAGTGGCTCTTAATCCCTACACCAGGACCCAAAACTAGTCCCAAGCTATTTTAGTTGTACACGGAATGAAAAAGAAACATCAGATTTCTGGTCCAGATCAACTGCGACAGCTGTTTCCAATAGCAGCACTGCTAGGAGCAAATGCGTCTTTAAGTTAGAACGATCTAAATAAAGATGTTTTGGAGAATTTATTATAGAAGATATAATATTAAAATTGATTAATGGGCCACTGAACAGATTTGAAGAAGAAAGAACGGAGATTAAGAATCCCTACTCTACATATTAAAAGCTGAACCAACATGCTTTGGTTACAATCATTTGTGCATAACAACTAAATATAAATGCTATACAATATTCCTGTATCTAAAAGCACAAGTACATGGGGAAGGGGGAGAACTTGCAGAGTATGTAAGGAGAGCTTCTTCTTCAGATTTTATGTATCGTTGCTATTAGTTGTACCTTGTGCAGCCTGTAAATATTTTGCATTAGAAAGCGGTAGGCATTGTACCACGGCAGGAAAACATCTTTCAACACATCTCGGACACCCTCTTCTTTAAAACGTAGGTTTTCTGCTCTTACCACAGGGGAATTAATAAGGTACAGTCTGGAGGGATAGAAGGAAAGGGATTATATTAGTAACATGGCAGCTTTTATAGGTCATGTAAAGGAAACACCAAACAGCAGATAACCTAGTGCTCTTAGACAACGTGCCAGGGTTTTTATGTCCATTGCAGATATATAAATTAACCCTTTTGTCAGGTAGATTTCTTCACGTCCAGAATTTGATTGAGAATAGACATATTCTAAAGCGTAAACATGGCCATCGATGGGATTCACAATTTGCACATTGCTTTACTTCAGTTCTGACAGTGTTTCTATAGGACCCAAACAGGTAAAAGTACTTTCCCTAACAAGTAATAGATCTCAGGCAATATAGTCTCATTCTGGTCTACATGGTCTGCTTACCAGATTAGGCCCTATCCAGCAGAAGTTTATAGAAAAAGTAGAATTCTGACCATCTACATGATGAAGGGAAATACAGTGTAAATGGATAACATTCATACCACATTGTGGACATACCTGGGTTCACGGTTTATTGCAATCAGCCATGGGTGGCCCGCACTCTGATCTTTCTCCTGAAAGTAGAGTGCTCAGGCCAAGTTGTGTGTCCAGAGTGCACACACCACTGGCACAAGGTTGACACACAAGGTGGACACAACTGACACAGTCAGCCTAGAATGGAGCCATTTCAGATGCCTAGTTGACTGCTCTGAGGGGATATCTTAGAACGGCAGACATGTTTTACAAAATCACTACAATTCTAAGTCACTCCTACAGCAATTCTCGAGATGATATATACACCATCAGCTTCGTAAGTATGCAAAGTTGTGATGGTGCTTAGATTCTAACTTTTGCTTCTTTGATAGTGCTAAAATCTCAGCTACCACCTGAAAGTGAATCTTTAAATGCTGTTTTACACTCACCACTGCCTCTCAGCTAATCAGTATTAGTGACATCAATCAGCATAGTTGCCATCAGTCAGTGAAGTCCTCATTCTTTTCAGTGCTTTGTTTTACCATGAAATAGATACAGGAGACCTAGTAAGGTGCCTCTCCTTTAATTCCACATAAAACCAAGTAACGCATTGCACGTCAAAGTGAATCAATGTTGGAGACTCGGCTGCATACAAGCTCCACACTGCAGCCTGAAACACACCCCTGCTTGGGATAAAAGGCATGTATATATAATAGTATCCAGAAACTTAACTTTTTTTATTCCAACTATATTTAAGTTTGTCACTTAAACCAACAATTCTGGGTGTCAGATGATCACAACAGATTATCTGAATCACCTGCTAAACAGTTAAGTTTGACATCAACTTGTTCTGGGTTTTCCCCTAGAGTATGAGGCCAGTGGTGAGATCATAGCGAATACAGATTGCCCTTTAATGGCAGTGAGGAAAGCCCTGGTGTTGCCTGCAAGTATAAACTGCCACTCTCTGTATAAACAACTTTTGACTCTACAAGGTTAAGAAGTCTGATTTCTGACAAGACAAGCAAGAGGAAAGCTTAACAGAATACAGAACTTGGCCCGCAAAAATCAAACAAACAGCATGGAAAAGCCATCAAGAGTGAGTCTGCAGAGGGCAAGTGGGGTAATCGCTTGAAATATCAACGCACTTTGTTTAAAGTGTTATTATTTCCTAACAAACAGCTGCTCAAAAAAGCAGAATCAGGTATATGAACTCTTAGTTTTAACAGATCCTGCATGAACATCAATGTTAGAGATCTGCAATTTGCAGGCTATTAAAATACAACGCTATGCAGAGTAAAACAAAAATTCCAGCATTCTGACGGCTTAGAGAAGGGTAGGCAACCTTTGGCAATCCAAAGGTTGTGGACTACATCTCCCATAATTCTCTTATAGCCAAAATGTTGTTAAGGTATTAAGGGATTTGTAGTTCACAACATCTACCATGCCAAAGGTTGCCTATCCCCGGCTTAGATCATAATTCCAGAGTCTTCTGGGGCAAACTTCAGTCAAGCATACACGCAAAGAGAACTCCCAAGCAGTTATCCCAATACAGAGACAACAAACGAGAAAGGGGTATGCACAACCAAACCTCTAAAACTCCTCATACTACTTTTTCTTCTTGAGTGGCACTAACATTTCATATTGACATGCTAATAGGTCAGTGTTGTTCAGCTTCTTTTAATGTAATGATGCTGTACCATGAACCATGTGGGATGTTTAAGCAGGTGGTGAACCAAACACACTCAATGGCCACACAGAATACATACATAAAGACATCAAAATCACTTGCAGAGGACTGTGGATACTAACCTGAGTGCATCTGCTCCATAATTATGGATTACGTTCATTGGGTCTGGGTAATTTTTTTTGCTTTTGCTCATTTTCTGACCATCGCTATTTGAGAGGAGAGAGAGAAAACAAAAAGAAGAAGACAACCATAAATAAATAAAATAGTATCTATTACAGCATGTCAGACAAGATGCCCCTCTACTGAACTCTGCTATACCAGGTAACCTGTAACAAAGAGTTTTTCTGAGAAGTTCAGGATGTATTTTCATGAAGAGAACTAGGTGTTGTGTTCATGACACTGAAACATGTAGCACAATATTAAAGCGATACTATAGTCATAAAAACAACTTTAGCTTTATGAAGCAGTTTTGGTGTATAGAGAATGGAGTCTCACTGTTCAATTCTCCGCCATTTAATAGTTAAATAACTTATGCTTCTTTTTATGCAGCACTAACCACACCTTCCCTGGCGTCATTTTTCAATCAGATGTTAACTTCCTTTATAGGTTTTTATGTCCTGCGCAGTAAATTGAATTTAATCACACATAGACTCTTGCAGGATGTGGCAAGCACCAGAGAGAGAACATTCTAAATTAAACAGAATTTGCAATAAAGGAAGTCTAAACATTAAGATGACTCTTTTCATAAAGTGTTTAGGAAGTCACATGCAGGGAGGTGTGACTATGGCTGCATAAACAAAGTGATTTAACTCTGACTGGCAGAGAATAGAGCAGTATTGTGTTTTGCTAAAGTTGTTTTGGCTCCGGTCGTTTCCCATGAAGATGATCTTCCCACTCTAAAAAGTTTTTAAACCTTTCTCTCCCTACAACAGGTTCTGTAGGTCAAAGTCATGGGGATTCTTTGCAAGCTGCAAAGTCATCATGCAATGTCTTGTACAGTAGATGTGCTTGGTGCAGATGCACTTACTGTATATTGGCACCATGCTCACTAAGGATATTTATGTGTTGGCATATTTAAGAAGTGTAATTCACAGAAAATGCCATCATCTTCCTGACAAAAATGAATAAGCAGGACATTTTACCATTTTTTGCTAATATAATAAATTACTATATTATCTTTTTAGTTAAAATCTTTTTAGTTGTGATACAATACATACAAGAAAGAGACTAACATTATCCTATTAGAATATTCCATATAAAAAAAAAAGAAAAATACAAAACAAACATGATACAAAAGGACACCCCCTATATAAGCAACAGTGATGTTCAGAGTGAATACATTACAGAACGTAATTACATTCAGAGGGCTCTTTGTCATCATTAACCAGAAAGCACCATGTAAAATTAAATCAAACCCTTCTATTGGAAGGAATAATCTGTGGCGATTGTGCTCATGCACAGCTAAGAACTGGTAGTGCAGAACTTAGTGACACTTGGTGTTATGTATACAACTGAATGCCACAATTATTAAACAAATAAAGACAAAAACACATCTAAGAAGTCTTATGATACTAAATCTGTGGTAGTTTTTATTTAAATATGCAGACAACTCCTCATGCTAATCCACAGATAGGTGTAAGCATGATTTAGTATCATGATTAGCATACGTGCAGCCAATCGCACATTAGAGTGCAGCTTAAAGGACAACTCCACCCACAAAGCACGTCAGCTTGCTGAAGGGCTTTATGGGTGAGGCGATCACATTTAAAAGGCACTTTAACAAATGCTGATATCTATGAGAAAACAACACTTTATTATTATGAAACACTGCTCTGGTTGTCAAAAAGCCAGATAGGTTAACTTCCTGTTTCTGTTTGCTCCCCTGAGCTAACAAAAGTGACAGATATGCTCTACATAAATGCGCCTGTCTCTGCCCGCATGCCTCTCCGCCGATTTCAGATCAGACCAGCTTTCTTTCTGAAAGCTGTGCAGTGTGCGGGATTGGTTATTTCCTCACGAACAGACTTAAAGTCTCTTCCAGGGGAAGAGAGTGAGGGCTTGCAAAGCCTGCAGTTCAAAATAAATGCAGCTATTTTAAGTTGTTTAAATATATATTCCCAATGAATACGCATATGATTGAAAAAAAATGCACGCATGTATTAATTGGGGTTATATCTACAAAATAGACTTTTTAAAAGATTTTAAGTGTGGAGTGGTCTTTTAACATTAAATTCTAAAGACATCCCATTTAACAACTGAAAAATTACAGCTGCTGGCAAATAACGATACATTCAGATTTCAGAGCTCCAATTAACAGACATTAGAAGCAAAATGGCATTAATCCTTCCCGGACACCTTGAACCTTTCGCTATGCATACAATTGTTAAGTTTGCAAAGTCCCATCAGAAAAGAAAAAAAAGTATTTACCTGGCCAGGACAAGACCATTCACTATGACATTCTTGAATGGTGGCTGGCCAAACAGAGCTGTAGAAAGCACCAGAAGTGTGTAGAACCTAACATGGAGTCACAGAGAGAGAGAGAGAAAAAAAAAAAAAAAAAGGTTAATCTGAACAGAATTACATTTACATTTTATTGTAGTGCATTGGCCTTGCATTACTGATTTCTGAGCTGAAACCGAAGAATGGAATCTGCCGCTTTCCAAAATATTTGGATTTTTGTACTTACCATCCTCTAGTTTGGTCAATGCCCTCAGCAATAAAGTCAGCAGGAAAACTGTCTTCAAACTCCCTTCTGTTCTCAAAAGGGTAGTGCACCTGGGCATAGGGCATGCTGCCACTCTCAAACCAGCAGTCAAAGACTTCATTAACACGTCGCAGTGGGCTCTTCCCACGCCGTGAGGGGATGGTGATACTGTCCACACTGAAGTAGATGAAGAGGAAGAAATCAATTACCAATAGAGAAACCTCTGTTATAATACAAATTAAAGCAGCTGGCTTGATTTATGCTTAACCCCTTAAAGGACCACTACAGGGAGTGCAGAATTATTAGGCAAATGAGTATTTTGACCACATCATCCTCTTTATGCATGTTGTCTTACTCCAAGCTGTATAGGCTCGAAAGCCTACTACCAATTAAGCATATTAGGTGATGTGCATCTCTGTAATGAGAAGGGGTGTGGTCTAATGACATCAACAACCTATATCAGGTGTGCATAATTATTAGGCAACTTCCTTTCCTTTGGCAAAATGGGTCAAAAGAAGGACTTGACAGGCTCAGAAAAGTCAAAAATAGTGAGATATCTTGCAGAGGGATGCAGCACTCTTAAAATTGCAAAGCTTCTGAAGCGTGATCATCGAACAATCAAGCGTTTCATTCAAAATAGTCAACAGGGTCGCAAGAAGCGTGTGGAAAAACCAAGGCGCAAAATAACTGCCCATGAACTGAGAAAAGTCAAGCGTGCAGCTGCCACAATGCCACTTGCCACCAGTTTGGCCATATTTCAGAGCTGCAACATCACTGGAGTGCCCAAAAGCACAAGGTGTGCAATACTCAGAGACATGGCCAAGGTAAGAAAGGCTGAAAGACGACCACCACTGAACAAGACACACAAGCTGAAACGTCAAGACTGGGCCAAGAAATATCTCAAGACTGATTTTTCTAAGGTTTTATGGACTGATGAAATGAGAGTGAGTCTTGATGGGCCAGATGGATGGGCCCGTGGCTGGATTGGTAAAGGGCAGAGAGCTCCAGTCCGACTCAGACGCCAGCAAGGTGGAGGTGGAGTACTGGTTTGGGCTGGTATCATCAAAGATGAGCTTGTGGGGCCTTTTCGGGTTGAGGATGGAGTCAAGCTCAACTCCCAGTCCTACTGCCAGTTCCTGGAAGACACCTTCTTCAAGCAGTGGTACAGGAAGAAGTCTGCATCCTTCAAGAAAAACATGATTTTCATGCAGGACAATGCTCCATCACACGCGTCCAAGTACTCCACAGCATGGCTGGCAAGAAAGGGTATAAAAGAAGAAAATCTAATGACATGGCCTCCTTGTTCACCTGATCTGAACCCCATTGAGAACCTGTGGTCCATCATCAAATGTGAGATTTACAAGGAGGGAAAACAGTACACCTCTCTGAACAGTGTCTGGGAGGCTGTGGTTGCTGCTGCAAGCAATGTTGATGGTGAACAGATCAAAACACTGACAGAATCCATGGATGGCAGGCTTTTGAGTGTCCTTGCAAAGAAAGGTGGCTATATTGGTCACTGATTTGTTTTTGTTTTGTTTTTGAATGTCAGAAATGTATATTTGTGAATGTTGAGATGTTATATTGGTTTCACTGGTAATAATAAATAATTGAAATGGGTATATATTTGTTTTTTGTTAAGTTGCCTAATAATTATGCACAGTAATAGTCACCTGCACACACAGATATCCCCCTAACATAGCTATAACTAAAAACAAACTAAAAACTACTTCCAAAAATATTCAGCTTTGATATTAATGAGTTTTTTGGGTTCATTGAGAACATGGTTGTTGTTCAATAATAAAATTAATCCTCAAAAATACAACTTGCCTAATAATTCTGCACTCCCTGTATAGTGCTAGGAAAACATACTCGTTTTCCTGGCACTATAGTGCCCTGAGGGTGCCCCCACCCTCAGGGTCCCCCTCCCGCCGGGCTCTAGGGGGAGGAAGGTGTTAAACTTACCTCTTTCTCCAGCGCCGGGCAGGGAACTCTCCTCCTCCATAGCGACTTAATCGGCTGAAAGCGCATGTGCAGCAGGAGCTGCGCACGCATTCAGCCAGTCCATAGAAAAGCATTCTCAATGCTTTCCTATGGACACTGGCATCTTCTCACTGTGAAAATCACAGTGAGAAGCGCGGAAGCGCCTCTAGCGGCTGTCAATGAGACAGCCACTAGAGGCTGGATTAACCCTATTATAAACATAGCCGTTTCTCTGAAACAGCTATGTTTATAGAAGAAAGGGTTAATCCTAGCTGGACCTGGCACCCAGACCACTTCATTAAGCTGAAGTGATCTGGGTGCCTATAGTGGTCCTTTAAGGACACATGACGGAAATATTCCGTCATGATTACCTTTTATTTCAGAAGTTGTGTCCTTAAGGGGTTAAAAGGGAACTCTCATAACCCAAAATGAAAGATGTGAAAATCAGTAAAAGTAAATGGTCTTTTTAGCCAAGTGCACTGAATAAAATAAATTGTATGCTTGGCACCTTACAAACGGAACATTTAAATGCTTGGAACAACCTTTAAAAGAAAAATGTATTTAGATACAAGTCTCAGAGTCTCACCTTTCCCGATGTAAGTCTGTCACTTTCACGCCACTCAGCTCTTCTAACTCGGCTATAGAGCCCACACAGACAACCTGCAGGAAACACAGATACATTTAAACATAAGTGGAAGACTATGGCAATATAGTCATATTAAATGGAAAAAAATAAAAAATGACTTTTTAAACTGTTGTTACAGCAATAGGATTTGTTACTTAAAGCTCACAAAAGCATTAATGCAGGTGTCTGTACTAAAGAATTTTTTTTCCCTCTTTTCCTTTCACAGACCAACCTCTTCATAGTCCTCGCTAACCCACAATGGAATGGGTGTCCCCCAGTACCGGTTCCTGGATATAGCCCAGTCTCTTGCATCCTTCAACCAATTACCAAACCTCTTCTCTCTCACAAATTCGGGTACCCTGATGGAAAAAAAAAAAAAGTACAATTTGTAATTTGGAGACAAGGCTATTTTACAATATCAAACTTTTTCACAAATGATAAATAAATTGGGAAAGAAATGAGAATATAATAAGTAGAATATTCAAGGCAAATTCTGCTTGATCATATGATGCCCTGTTTTTAAAATCATCAGACTACACATAAAGGGGAAATAAATCTTAAAGGGACACTATAGTCACCAGAACAACTACAGCTTAAAGGGGCACACTAGTCACCAGAACAACTACAGCTTATTGAATTTGTTCTGGTGAGTAGAATCATTACCTTCAGGCATTTTGCCGTAAACACAGTCTTTTAAGAGAAAATGCAGTGTTTACATTACAACCTAGTGATAACTCCACTGGCCACTCCTCAGATGGCTGTTAGAGATTCTTCCTGGGTCATGGTTGCCTAAAATGCATCCAAACATTCAGTGTCTCCTCCCTCTGTATGCAGACACTGAACTTTCCTCATTGAGATTCACTGATTCAATTAATCTCTATGAGGAGATGCTGATTGGCCAGGGCTTGGTTTGAATTGTGCTGGCTCTGCCCCTGATCTGCCTCCTTGATAGTCTCAGTCAATCCTATGGGGAAGCACTGTGATTGGCTCAGAACAACACTCTGATGATGTCAGCAGACAGCTTGCAGGTCTGAGGCAGACAGGGGCAGAGCCAGCAGCTTCAAGCTTGAATACAAGTAAGATTTTACTATATTTAGGGAGGCAAGAGAGGGCCAGGAAGGCTAGATGGTGGCTTTAACACTATAGAGTCAGAAATAAATATATATTGTAAATATATGTATAGAGCTCCTTTAATTTTTCATTGTAATATATAACGGTGATCAAAAAGTACAAATTTGAGTTAATGTATGGGCTAAATAATATTAAAATGGTCATTATAGATTTCTTATATTTCATGCATTCCATGTATTTACATCTGATTTTAAAATCTTTGAGACATATAAAGCAACTGTTACAATATTTCTCCATTTCTGTCTCGACCCCCTCACGGTCAATAATCCAGTTATGTCCTTTTCTCACATATGGAGCATTAAATATGATCTTTCTTTAGGAGACATACCATATTTTCCGGCGTATAAGACGACCCCCAACTTTTCCAATTAAAATATAGAGTTTAGGATATACTCGCCGTATAAGACTACCCCTCTTCCAATGCACACCAAATAAAAATTAGCCATGATGTACAGTGAGCAGACAGAGCTACACAGCAAGACATTAAATAATGATAATCTGAAATAGCATTTAAAGCCCAGGTATGTGCCAGGCTGTTTGGGCATATAATCCATGCCTGCTGGTCTAGCACACAGGAGGCTAATTGTGATATATTCTTTTTACTCCCCCCCTCCATTATTTTTACTACCCCCCCCCCCTTCCTTTCAGTCCGGCCGGGAACAGGTAACTGAATCTCCTGTACCGCGCGGTACCCGGACTGACAGGACGAAGAGGAGCTCGGTCACCCACTCTGCACAGGGAAGGGGGAGGTGAGAAGAGAGGCAGTGCGGCAGCCGTCTGAGCGCTCTCTATAGAGCGCTCAGGTGGCTGCAGCATTAGAAGGGTCGGCGATGGGGGCGCAGGGCGCCCCCGGCAGCCATTTAGACCCTATACCCGGTGTATAAGACGACCCCCGACTTTGGAGAAGATTTTCCAGGGTTAAAAAGTCATCTTATACGCCAGAAAATACAGTATTTATGACATTTACATTCCATGCTTTGAGGGTCTCCACAAATGGGTAAAAAACACTTTGGGGTTTGATCAACAAAGAGACAACCAAGTTGAAAAAGTGTTAAGGGAGAAGAAGTTATGAAGCTGGATAATTGTGTTCCTAATTCAAATATTTCTAACTAAATATGTTAATTTGACTGAATACAAAGTTTGAAAGAAAATAAAACTTCAGTTTCACTAGGTTAAATTGACAAAGAGGCTTTAATAACACATCAATAAGAGGAATAAGCTCTCGAATTAAAGGGAATTATGGAGCCATATATCACTGATTTAACAGTCACTTGTCACATATAACTCAAAGATTTCTATTTAGGTCAGAATCCCAAAGAGCAAAGAGCGCTAGCAGAGCCATGTTTATACAAAGTTCTCCCTTCTCACTTTTAATGTCAGATTGTTGAACTAGTTACAAAACTAATTAGGAAACCAATTACGCTGAGGTATCGTTTGCAAAAAAGCCCAATTTCCACAGGGCAGGAATAGAATGTTCCCCCAGCAAGGGAAAGAAAATGGGTTATTAATACATCTGAAAGAAAGCAGAACAGGCCATACTCCTCCTCAGTTCTATTATTACAATGCTGTTCTTATTCCCTCAGGTTAATCTGGGATGAAAGGCAGTGGCCTCTTTTTCGGGTGCCAGTGCAAGGAACCCCAGGGAAAACAAAACATGAAACCCTAATTAGATTCATTAATTCAACTCCCTCACTCGCTCCAAGGCACAGAGGACAAAATGTCCGAAGGCAGGCAGGTAATCCATAGTAAGAAGGATATTCAAAGCCAGAAAGCTTTGCTTTGTTGTCCTTCAGTTATAAACAGCTAACACCTTACACAGCACTACAGAGTGCTAGTAAATAATACTGTGATATACTAAACAGGAGTAGAAATCACAATGAAATCTAACAGGGACCAGAGTTTAATATTGCAAAGGAATAGATAGATTGGGTCGCAGGGTGTGCAATTCTGTAATTTAGGATACAGAATGATTAAGCATGTTTTACGAGGAAACAATGCCATCGAGGTGTTCTGGAGACTTTATAAAATTGCAAATGAATGTCTCCGGAACTTAGAGAAGTCATTATTTCCCATGAGTTATGTATCCTTCATGTTACATGATTATATTTTGAAATTAAGAATAAAAAATAAAAAACGGGCAGCACTGGACATACATGTCCAAGGTTAGTGGGAGTTACACTTCAAAGCAGCACTAATCCATTAATGATGATATGGAAGGGATGCTGCCGAGTGAGAGAGAGTCACAATGTCGCACCAGCTCCACTACCAACAGGCCCACGACAGGAGAGGGGGTGAATTAAGAACAGCACAGAGTTTAATTTTTTGTGTTTGTATTTGCTTCTGAATTACACAGCCATGTTACTGTGCGGACGCCCATGTTTACCCTATTAGGGTAAATATGTGCATAGGAGTTCATAAACAATACCCCTCATTGTTTCATTCGATATGCTGCCTTTTAGCTGAAAGAAGTAATGTGGATTGTTAGTGTAGGACTCTTCTAAGAGGTTTTGCCTTGACGTGGCAGGTGAGCTTACACTTTAATGGCGGTTGGATTGATACTAAAATTAAACAAGTTATTTAAATGTACATAAAGATTCGGGATAGTGCGCATATAATTTTGGGGAGGTTTTAAATTAAAAGAACTATAGTGTCAGGAATACTAGTGTATTTTCCTGACACTATAGCAGCCAAAAAAAAAAAAAAAAGTATCATTACCGCTGGCCCTGTCCCTGCTCTGCCTCTCCTTGGCTGAGATCATCAAAATTGTTGATTTCAGCCATTCCAATGCTTTACACTCTGCAGCACTGACCCAGGAACCACCTCTAGTGGCAGTCTGATGAGTTGTCACTAGAGGTGGTCCTAGGCTGTAATGTAAACACTTCATTTTCTCTAAAAAGACAGTGTTTACTGCAAAAAGCCTGCAGGGACAGGCAGTAGACACCAGAACAACTTCAGTTGTTCAGGTGACTGTAGTGCCCCTTTAAGAAAAGCAGCTACAGCTTAACCCTCACAATATTTTCAAGAGGCATTTTACTTTACAATTCATCATTATATATTTTGTAGACTTGTCCTTAATTCAGCCGCTCCTCTCTTACAAGGAAAGAGTTAGGGAGACAAGACAGTATGATTTTCTTCAGCTTTTCTCCCAAGACAGCATTGGCTGAATTAATGGCAGTAGTTGCAAATAGCAACTTCTGGAGAGTACTGTAACTCCAACAAATCTTGGACGTGTCAGGTCTTGCATGTCCCAGGACTGTAACGAGAGTCGGGTTTCAAACTGTCCATAATTTATCATAGGACTGCATGTAAATCAGATTGTTTTAGGGAACTTTAAAGTGATAGTAAGTGGCTGTACCATGAAGATGAGCATATGACCATATAAGCTTTTAGTTTGATTGCCAACTACTCTAATACCAGTAAATATTATGGGTGTTCTGTACTGCCTCCAGAAATAGTACTAGGGTCACAAGCAGGAGCAGCTACACAGAATGACTCTCCCATGTCCAGTTTTTAATGGTAACTGGGACTGGAAAACCTCAAGGGACAGAGACATGCAAAGGAAAAAGTACAAAGCACATAACCAGGCACTAAATAAATGTTAATATTAAAAAGAGAATACTTTTGACATTTTTACAGTAAAAGTAATTATTGAAAATTAAAAATGTAAGAGTAGTTAACAGTTTTAAAGTGTCCTTCTTACCAGTAGCACTGACTGTTGTTTTGAAGCAATTTTTCAACCATGTGCTCAACTCTTACAAACCAGCTCGGAACAGCTTTGTAAATGAGAGGAGTTTCTGATCTGAAAAGGGAACACCGTTTTTATTAGTTTAATGACTGCCAATAGGCATATACAGTGATGCAGCACAGACTTTAAGAAACCGAGATATAAACAGATACACAAGTATACACAGCAGATAAGGCATGACTCCCATAACCCTCTGTCTTGTATTGACAAAGTGACCGGATTTTAAAAAAAAACTTTTTTAAACAAGAAATCTCGTTGGGAGGCGGGAGCTCAATAGGTCCTGTTGCCAGTGGACTGGAATAGAGTTCTGGGCTGCCTAAATCACATGTGCCGAGGGTACAACTAACCCCCGGTATATAAGTGCAGACAAACCATTATGAGTGGTGTTTCGAGCTGATACACTGCACATATATACTCCAACCATGACCACTTCAAATCGCTGAAGTGGTCATGGTCCTTAGAGTAACCCTTTAACATGATTGGGGAACATAATTGGGCTTAACAATCTTGATTAAAAATGTGCCTATTTTACCTGCCGCCAAGACATATTTTTGTGAGTGCTTGTTACTATGTGCAAGGCAGCAATGTAAAGCACTCATCAGAGCACGCCTATGTGTTATTCCGCAATGACTTTATAAAAGTTTACAAAACAGTGTGGTTTGTTCACAAAACATTGAACTGTAGTAAGCTGCTAAATTTTATTTAAAGGCTGATATGGAAAAATTCTCCAACATTAACCATACTCCCAGCGTTCTATTTAAATAGGACACTCCTTGCACCATAACAACTTAATTAGAATAATAAGGTGCAAGGAGGACACCAGGCATCGTCTTATCCCTTTTTGTGAACAGTTTGAGCCCTACAGGAAAGACTGCACCCAGTGATGTCATCATACATAACCTTATTCAGATGAGAATGTTATGGTCCTCAGAGTGCTCCTATAAGTCTCTGTTGACAACTCAGTTTTTGTTTTTTGGTTTTTATTACAACAAAATGTTTAGTAGATTAAACCCTTGGCGAATAATGAGCATTTAAGTGCTTAACTCGCTTAAGTTTATAACTCAATATTAAACGCTTAAAGGCTCTTTCACCTTCTGTGGTATGGCATATTTTCCAAAGACCCAGATGGTAATTTTGATCCTTGAGAACGGTATGCCAGGGGTACAAGGAAAGGTACGTTTCACTTACCTGAATGGGTCCCTCGTGGCTGTCGCCATGTCCATACAGAGGGTCCTCTTCATCTCCTGGTGCTTCATCTGCCAGGAGCCAACATCAGGGCACCACAGGAGCCTCCATAGACAATATATTTTTCTTCACAGCCGTCACTAATGATGGCTGGAGAAAATGACAACATTTAAAGGCAGTAGTTCCGCCTTTTGTTGGGAATAGGAAAAATGCTTTAGAAAAGGAGTCTTACTTTGTCTTATGATGTCTTTTGACTGCATTGGAATTTTAGTGAAATTCCAACACAGTGAATATGAGGGGTTTTTTTTGTAAAGCTTTGCTTTGTCCAGACTGGATTATGATATAATTTTCAAAAAATAACGTAATTTTTAAAGTTGTATTCAATGGCATACATTCCAGAGCAGTTTTAAAAGCAACCATAAATTGTAATTGGTGGTGGGGGTTAAGCAACTACACACCCACACATGACATGCCTGCTAACATTTTAAAAACAATGACACAGAACCAGGTGGTACAAGCATTTTTGTTTGAATCATCATTCTCTGTCTATTCAAGCAGCTACATTTGCTGACTTCTGTCAGTCGCATCTATATTCTCATACATGATAAACTACAAAATAGGGTACTATGGAAGACGGATGATTAGATTAGTTGCTTTGCCTTTGTTCATCAAGATACTCTCATCCATCTGTTTTATAGGGATATTCTATCATCATAATTACTAAACGGTACTGTAGAGCTTATGGTGCCTGGAGTTCCCTGGAGCCTTCCCAATGTAAGCTGTCAAATCAGTTACAAATGGTTTCACACTTACCTAGCTCTGTCAAGTGTTTATAGTCCCTTAGTTGCACAGATATGCAAAAGTGGAAGTTTATACTTCCATGTTGGCTATATCAACTTTTAAACACATTTTTTGGATGAGAGCTTCAGAATGCTTTAATAAAAATGTCTACGGGTCAGGATCTCATTAATAAAACTCACACTTGTGTTCAATGAGGCAGCTCAATACTCCACAGACACAAAGTGGTTAATACACTAGATTAGGAGATATGAAGAAATAAACAACAAATTGCAAATTGTAGGTGAAGATAACCGAACTCGAAAAAAGGTCTCCAACAAGCTATATTGGGACTAAAACCTGCAAATCGCTTGTCTTTTCTCCACTACTTAAAGTTTAGTAAATAAGTCACGGGTCATTTATATAGAATACGTGATTAGTTACATCATGCCACAGTACAGCTCTCTCTCACCTCCAGCAGAATGGGTAGTTGTGCTTGTATGTACTGCTATGCACAAGGCGCCCACGCTCCTTTAGTAACTTTATAATGTTCTTATCTGCATCCTGTAAATTAACACAGGTTACTAAGCAAATGCAATTTCTTGAAATTTGCAAACAGAAAAAAAAATATATGATGAGGGTACAAATAAAAAAAAAAAAATAGTAATATCAAATAGTCACGGAGATGTAGTAATGCTTCTTAGAAAGGTAGGGGGTTTGATTATTGGATGGAATTGAAAGCTTAGAAGGGGGATATAAAATGAGCACAAATCAACAGAAGAAAAGCCACAGGACGCTGCCATATGGCATTGGTTTTAAGCTTTCAATGCCAGCGTGTAACCATTTAAAAAAAAAAAAAACTGAAGAAATCCAACCTTGACATATTGTCCTGCAAAGTCAGTCACTTCCTGTGTGAAACAGCCAGACGCATCAACAGGACACACTGGCACAGAATCCTTCTGTATGATATTAAAGTCCATACAGACCCTGTAATCATCCTGAAAGAGAGAGAATGGGCAAGTTAGAACTCTACAGCTAGAACCAAGTTTGTTTAATATTTTAAGATCTTAGCGTAGACATATACTCATTATAGGGAGATGTTCAGTTAAAGGGGGGAAAAAAATTGAAAATAAAAACCCTAACATAAATTACTGCCACCTCCTAAGGACTAGTAGAGACTTGTGATTCTACAGCATCAATAAACGAGGAACATATTTTTGACCCAATGGAATGGGTAGTAAATATCACCTCTACGGGAGTTGCCTTTCACAGTCATAAAATGTAAAAAATGCTTAGACAGTCATATCCTAATCTCATTCCTCTCTCACACATGGTTCAAGCCTTTCACTGGTTCCCAAGGTAAATATGTTCCTCAGCTAGCCAATGCATCTTGGCTGGATCCCTACTGATTATGTGTGGTTAATTTATATATAAAAGATACCAATTTGGCCTTAAAGACTATATTCCAAGCACTGAACGTTCTGAAAGAAAGCAGACAGAATATCAGCAACTAATATGAGACTAATGCTACACTGGTGCCACCTTGTGGAGATAAAATGAATCACAAATTTTAATAATGTATTAATGTTGCAAATCTTTCATACTTACAGCTCCAAAGTATGGAGCCTGGTGTACAACCCCTGTGCCTTCTTCAGACTTTACATAATTATCTGTCAGAACTGTAAAGGCCCCTATATCTGCAGCCTGAAAATGAGACAAGAAGAATTTGTAATGTGAATTGCTTAACGTGGCAATAAAAAATAGATTTTAGTAAGAGTTGAGAAATAAAAAAAAAGTACTGAACACACTTATATGTGGTGTATGTATACCTTTTTAAAGTATTCAAACAATGGCTTGTACGTCTTTCCTTTCAGAGCATTTCCAGGAAATCTGTTCAATACAAAATAATAATAATAATAATAATAATACATTTCAATACAATATAAATTAATGGCTTCATTCATTTGGGGTTTGAAACACTATTTTCAGCATATGCGGTTTTCTCTCACTTATAAATTATTTCCAGGTATTTCACAGTTAGTTTGTTAACAGTCATTATTTTAAGCAATTAAAATTATGTCACTAATCTTTACAACACACCCATTTAGCTGAGGGTGGGGGTTAAGTGTGTGATTAAAAAAAAAAATATATATATATATATATATATATATATATATATACACACACACACACACACACACATATACATACACACACAGCTCAAAAAAATAAAGGGAACACAAAAATAACATCTTAGATCTGAATTAATTAAATATTCTTCTGAAATACTTTGTTCTTTACATAGTTGAATGTGCTGACAACAAAATCACACAAAAATAAAAAAATGGAAAGCAAACTTTTCAACCCACGGAGGTCTGGATTTAGAGTCACACTCAAAATTAAAGTGGAAAAACACAATACAGGCTGATCCAACTTTGATGTAATGTCCTTAAAACAAGTCAAAATGAGGCTCAGTAGTGTGTGTGGCCTTCACGTGCCTGTATGACCTCCATACAACACCTGTGCATGCTCCTGATGAGGTGGCGGATGGTCTCCAGAGGAATCTCCTCCCAGACCTGGACTAAAGCATCTGCCAACTCCTGGACAGTCTGTGGTGCAACGTGACATTGGTGGATGGAGCGAGACATGATGTCCCAGATGTGCTCAATTGGATTCAGGTCTGGGGAACGGACGGGCCAGTCCATAGCATCAATGCCTTCGTCTTGCAGGAACTTGTCTTGCAATTAGGAGGAACCCAGGGCCAACCGCACCAGCATATGGTCTTACAAGGGGTCTGAGGATCTCATCTCAGTACCTAATGGCAATCAGGCTACCTCTGGCGAGCACATGGAGGGCTGTGCGGCCCCCCCAAAGAAATGCCACCCCACACTATTACTGACCCACTGCCAAACCGGTCATGCTGGAGGATGTTGCAGGCAGCAGAACGTTCTCCACTGCGTCTCCAGACTCTGTCACGTCTGTCACACGTACTCAGTGTAAAACTGCTTTCATCTGTGAAGAGCACAGGGCGCCAGTGGTGAATTTGCCAATCTTGGTGTTCTCTGGCAAATGCCAAACGTCCTGCACGGTGTTGGGCTGTAAGCACAACCCCCACCTGTGGACGTCGGGCCCTCATACCACCCTCATGGAGTCTGTTTCTGACCGTTTGAGCAGACACATGCACATTTTGCAGGACTCTGGCAGTGCTCCTCCTGTTCATCCTTGCACAAAGAGGTAGCGGTCCTGCTGCTGGGTTGTTGCCCTCCTACGGCCTCCTCCACTTCTCCTGATGTACTGGCCTGTCTCCTGGTAGCGCCTCCATGCTCTGGACACTACGCTGACAGACACAGCAAACCTTCTTGCCACAGCTCGCATTGATGTGCCATCCTGGATGAGCTGCACTACCTGAGCCACTTCTGTGGGTTGTAGACTCCGTCTCATGCTACCACTAGAGTGAAAGCACCGCCAGCATTCAAAAGTGACCAAAACATCAGCCAGGAAGCATAGGAACTGAGAAGTGGTCTGTCGTCACCACCTGCAGAACCACTCCGTTATTGGGGGTGTCTTGCTAATTGCCTATAATTTCCACCTGTTGTCTATCCCATTTGCACAGCAGCATGTGAAATTGATTGTCACTCAGTGTTGCTTCCTAAGTGGACAGTTTGATTTCACAGAAGTGTGATTGACTTGGAGTTACATTGTGTTGTTTAAGTGTTCCCTTTATATTTTGGAGCAGTATATATATATATATACATATATATATATATATACACATACATATATACACATATACACATGTCTGTCTTAATTGTATAGGTTTGCAGTCTTTGTTGTTGGATCCCTACCTCACCTGGCTTGAATGAAAAACTGTTTCATTTTCAATCAGATGATAAATTGCTTTCGATGGTTTTATCCACTGCTCTATAAATGTAACTTTAATCACACACATGGTCTAGAAGGATATTACTGAGAATGAGCAGGAGATGAAAAAATATAAATGAAACAGAATGTGCAATAAAGGAAGTTTAAACATTAGATCTCTCTTTACAGGAAGTGTTTAGGAAAGCTGTTCAAGTCACATGCCAGAAGGCGTGACTAGAGCAGTATAAACAAAGTGATTTAACCCCTTCAGGACGGAGTCAATAGTACACGTTCTGATCAAAACAAAACGTAAACAAAAACTGGAATTTGCGCTATATGTCTGTTCAACCGTAATTCACCTCTTTCATATTAAATGTACCCACACTTATTATATATCATTTTGTTCAGGAGAAACAGGGCTTTAATTTATCATTAACTATTCATATATGGAACATAATTTATTATGAATAAAAATTTAAAAAAATTGAGAAAATAAGATTTTTTTTTTACATTTGTATTTCCGTCTGACATTTTAGCTGTTAATGTCATAATACTGTTGGGTATTACTGCAAAAAAATGCCCATATTTGTAATCAGCGGTGTCTCACGAGTACAACAGTACCCCCCATTAGCAGGTTTTATGGTATTTTGGAAAGTTAAAGGGTCAAATATAGAACGTTCCATTTTCACATTGAAATTTGCTAGATTAGTAATGTTACCTATGAGACGGTGTGGTAGCCCAGGAATGAGAATTACCCCCATAATGGCATACCATTTGAAAAAGTAGACAACCCAAGGTATTGAACGTGGGGTATGTTTAGTCTTTTTTAGTAGCCACTTAGTCACAAACACTGGCCAAAGTGAGCGTTCATATTTGTTTTTGTGTGAAAAAAGCAAAAAACTAATATTTGGCCAGTGTTTGTGACTAAGTGGCTACTAAGAAAGACTGGACATACCCCACTTGCAATACCTTGGGTTGTCTACTTTTGCAAATGGTATGCCATCATGGGGGTAATTCTCATTACTGGGCTACCATACGCTCTCAAAGGCAACATAACCAATCTGGTAAATTTCAATGTCAAAAAAACGAAATGCAAGCCTTATATGTGACTCTCTAACTTTCCAAAACACAATAAAACCTGTACATGGGGGGTATTGTTATTCTCGGGAGACTTCACTAAACACAAATATTAGTGTTTTAAAACAGTAAAACATATTACAACAATAATATAGTCCATAAAAGTGCCGTCTGTTTGTAAAAAATGCAAAAAACTTCACTTTTACTTAAAATATCATCGTTGTAATACAATTTACCAGTTTGAAACACTAATATTTGAGTTCAGCGAAGTCTCCTGAGTAAAACAGTACCCCCTATGTACAGGTTTTATGGTGTCTTGGAGAGTCACAGGGTCAAATATAGTGCTTACGAATTAAATTCTCTGCACTTTCTCCCTGTTTTGTCAGGCATGTCAATCAAATTTTAATTAATCAAATCACATAATTATGTTAAAAGATTACTTAAATATACATGTAGAATTTTAATATATATGCATTTATAGGTATTTAAATTCTACGTGTATACTTATGTAATCTTTTATGTAATTATATGTATTTATCGATATATATATATATATATATATATATATATATATATATATATATATATATATATATATATATTTGCGGTTATTTGTATTTTATATATAGATAGATCTATATAGAATGTCATTCTAAGTGTATTTTGTTACCGATATATATATATATTAATAACAAAATACAGTTAGAATGAAATTACATATGAATATATAATTTATATTACATTTTGTTTCAATATTTTATTTATTATTGTAATTATACATATATATACACATATATATATACACACATATATATATATATATATATATATATATATATATATATATATATAAAAAACCGTGTCCTGCATGGGTGCCCCCTTACACCACTACTATTTGCTCTGACATTAGAGCCTTTTCTGAACAGCATCTGCATGAATGGAAACACCAGAAGTGTGCAACTTATAAAGTTTATATCAAAGTGTTGGCTTATCTAAATAATATGATCTTCAGATTTCCTGAAGATGCCAATACACTTTCAGAAATATGGCATTCGAGGTAACATGGAGCTCATTCTGGCTTACAGATCGATTATAATAAAATAAAAAATATTGAAGATTACAGATATCAGGAAATTTATCTGGGATGGAAAATCTCCATAGCCACTGTCTGTTGTTCCTTTACAAAGATCACAGAGGGATACCTCTTCCAGACATGAACAAATACAGTATTGCATTTTACCTTTCTCGAGTGGTGGCTTGGAGTGAGGGGTACTAACGCAATCGGTCAGTTCCTGATGGAGTAATCCATGATTGGACATGGCCTGGCTATTTTTCCTTAGAATGGAGGCAGATGGACCCAAGGTTTTTTCTATCTATCCCTACTGCCCCAAAACGTATTTTATTGGGCTTAAAGGATTACTCCAACCATCATAACCACTACAGTTTGGAATATTTAGGGGCGGCTAAATGATGCACCAATGACACTGCCAGAGATGGAGTTAGACTTCTAGCAAAGAGGGGTTATTCTCTGTATGTGCAGCGTTTCATAGGCACCATAACCAATTCAAATCAATAAAGTGGTATTCGTGCTTGATGTAATCCTTTAAGACACACTGGGGTCCATTGAGCCATTAGATAGTGGATGTGCTACATCTAACACAAAATTGCTACTTCCATTCAATACAGGCTGGTACCGTACTCCTTTAACCCGTTTAGTTGGGTGGTTTTGCAGTTTAAGGTTTGTATCTGTCACAGTGTCTTCTAACTACCCAAATGCACTCAGTCATGAATCAACATTGGTTGTCAATCTTTTGTTTCTTTATATCAAACTCCTACACACTACAAATGCAGGTCTTTTAAAGAAAAAACTAAAATAAATAAATACAAAATTCAGATGCAAAAAGCTTCATGCTTTCATGACAATGCTAAGCCAATTACATCTTATGAATGAAAATGTTTTTAAACAAAAACAGACTTCAAATAGTTACATATGCACACAAACCATATCAGATTATCAATAAAGAATATCATACCTTTCCAAAATGTCATATTCATTTTCACCTTTGTACAAGGAAGACAGCCGGGCTTCCATCAGTATGTATATATTCCCATTGGACTTATCTAGGACAACAAATGGCACCATTATGGATATCTCATACTCCGTGGAGAATAATAAAAAAATAAAATAAGAACATTTGTGGAGTGATAAATCTAGGATTTAAAACATTCATGCCACCAATACAGCCATCATCTCATGCTTCTCACCTTTCAGTTTAATGTAGATCAGCTCAGGATTAACACACAATGCTAAGTTGCTAGGCAGTGTCCATGGGGTAGTAGTCCAAGCTACCAGTGATACATTTGGCTCCTCGACTAGTGGGAAGGTGACAATGACTGAAGGATCCTGGACATCCTAACAGATTGAACAAAGACAATGTAAAAAGATAAGAGAGTCTTTATGCTTTGGTTCAGAATGAATGTATTTATCCTGAATATATTTTGCCTTCCAAGACTCTTTAGATATAAAGCTTTACTTACTTTGTAGTTCTGATGGGCCTCAAAGTTGGACAGTGGCGTGTTGCACGCAGTGGAGAATGGCATCACCTTAACACCTCGGTACACAAGTCCTTTGTCATACAGCTGTTTAAAGACCCACCTGCATTTCAGAACAGAGTAATAGTTAATTCTTTGTGTAAAAAAAATTATAAAAACCTGACCGTTCTTCATTTTTGTCAAGTAATGCATACATAATTAATAATGCTCCTAAGAATTGCAGGGCTCTAAAGATTCAAATACATATTCAGAATGTAAATAATGTTCTAATTTTACAGAAGCAAAATATCTTAAAGAGGAACTGTGACTTTTCTGGAAGTGTCAGTTCCTCTTGCCTTATTAACTCCTCAATTCAGAAGAGGCTGAATTGTTAGCACTAGGCAAAAGTTATGCGAAAATGGCATTAACTAGTGTCCATATATCATCACTTACACGGTCATAGAAAACTTTCCGAGCAAGTTGAAAAACTCCCATAGAGAAACAGAAATGGTGACAGAGAATTGTATTTATCCACAGGCTAAGCAATGTACTAGCAAAAATTGGATACATTTACTGCAGAATTACCAGTCGCTACATTTAGCAAGTATTAGATGTTTTAACGTCTGTCAATTTTACAAGTAGCAAAAGGGAGTTAATAGTGGCCAATAGCTCCCATGATGCTCTATGGGTACCATTACCTTTACTGGCTGCTACTAAGCCTTCAAATTGACTAATTAGCACATGTGTGATCTTGCACGGTACATGCTACTCAGGTTCTTAATTGGTTGGTTTGCCACTCTAGATCTTGAAAGAAAGGCAAACATTTTGTTATTTAAAATGACACCACAACTAATTGCTAACTTTAGTAATCTATTAAGATGAGAAAAAGAAAGATACGACAGGTGCCCTTTAAGTGGAGAAAATTGTCCAAATACCAGGATGTTTCTTACAGTTACACCAGAGCAGTGCCATGGAGTCAGAAGCAATTATTGGGTTACTGGTGGGAGTTGGTAAAACTGTACCAACTCCAACTAAATGTTTACATTTGCCGGCATATAAATTAAGTCGACCCCCAATAAAGAAACCTGTAATATCGGCTTTGGCTTATATTCGTAAGTTAAGTTGACCCCCAAAATAATGTGCTGGCTTAACCCATAAATTGTAATACAGTATATAGGGAGCCAGAGGTACCATGAACTGGGAAGTCTGAATCAGAGTCGAATGTTTTGTGAACAAACTTTACAGCCCTGTATCAGAGCTCAGGAACAGATTTTCTAAACCAGTGTAGACAACATTCAACACTCCAGATGTCGTGGACTTCATCTCTCCTGATGCACTCTAGCATTATGGCTGTAAGAGCATTACAGGTGATATAGTCCACCACATCTCGAGTGCCAAACATGGTCTACCCCGTTGTAATTATAGATCACAAGGGTTTTCTGCCAGGTGACTGTCACTCTTCTAAAGCATTTATGCAACGGACATGATATAAAGCATTAACAAGATATTACAAGGAGCAACGGTGAGAGGAGTAAACAACCCCACTAATTAAGGTATTTGCCCCTTTAATAATTGGACCTTCCCATCAGTGCAGAGTAAAATAACTAGAAATTGTCCACATAGCCCTGTGCTATCACACTTAGTGTACCCAAATTGTTAAAATATTCATAGCTATGGCAAAAAAATGTCAAAATACAATCACCTTTTAATATTTGCACCTTACAACTTTTCATTAAGGTTTCCCTTGACTCACTTTACACCATTTTCAAAACTACAATTTTTGTCCTAATCTCAAAATGGAAGCACACGGCTAATCTGCGGCATCTTTAGATTGTAAGCTCACGGGCAGGGTCCTCTACCTGTTGTATTGGTCTGTTCTTATTGTGTTTTCCTTTTTCCCAATTGTACAGCGCTGCGGAATATGTTGGTGCTTTATAAATGCCAGTAATAAAAATAAGTAAATGTGTTGCCACAAAGTTCCAGATCCATAAGTAGATGTACTGCATCAAGATGAGCAGAAGGTGGCACTGTGCATCAGTTCAATTTAAGTACAAGTCAAGAAAAGTAGTTTCACAAACACATAGAACTACAGAACAGTGCAAGTCTTCCTGGTGAGGCCTTTTATAGACACGTCACCACCGCCATTAGGAAGAGCTCTAGTAGGTGATGACTGATTAGAGATGTGAAAATGTAAGCCAGTGTAGATTAAGCATTGCACTACGTTACACTTGTGCTCTACAAAACTTGGTGTATTACATAATAAATGATATAAGGCCGATTTATTCTACAATGTACAAATTAAACATAATGATCAATAAATTACAAATCCGTTAACATAAACACAAGGTGAGAAGAACACTGTGCAGCATACAGTCTGCATTTTCAGATAATGCGACACCAGTAGAGCCAGTTATGCAATGGATTGGGATTAATATTACAAGCACCCACATGTTATACCTCTACGTAATGCAGTCACAGTTTTCAAGGGCTGCAGGCTATAGTAGAAAAATACAATGTTTACACTCATAGGACATTCGATAACCAAGGAATTAGTCAAAATTGTGAATAATCAGTCCCATGTATTTGTATTTCTTTGAATGTGTTCACATATACATTATTTGTATTTTAAGCCCTACATGGAATCTTCTATCAATATATACTGGGCCCCTATTATACCTATATACGTTAACCACATAGTCCATCACTTATACATATATGAATAAAACATACATATGTTTTGCTTTTATTGTGTATGAAAAGGTGTGAATAGGTGACTAGGGAAATTAAATACAATATTTATCCATATGATCTAAGATGTTCTCAAAACAAAGCTCTCTGTAAAGATCCACATCTAACTTGAACAGAGGGGGTTCATTGGAAAAGTAGGCATGGGAAACCATGACATGGAGGTCCTGATAAGTGTACTGAAGGGTATAATCCAATGACAGCTGAATACTGGACAACCAGAATTGGACTCCCATGCTTCTATTTAGTGGATCTTCGTCATCATATGTGTCTGTCCGCCGCATCATATAGAATTTACAGTAGTGGCGCTGCCTCTCCCAGTGCTGGTGAGGACATGGGGGCAGGGCGGGGGAGGTTGCAAGAATCCCTTGCAGTACTGAAAGCACTGTCAAAGTGATATTTCTGTGGGAAAAGCAAGTCGTATGGCTTGACTGGTGTGTGTATTTTAGTTTAGCAATGTATTAACTATCCACTTACTTCAGGTGGAAGGGGTTTTCATCCACACTTTTCCCCCACCACAACTCTTTTGGTATGTGTGTGCGAACCCATGTTAAATATGTAATAAACAAAATAAAGGGTGAACTTCTAGGGGAGGGCGGCATGTTGCCTAGCAACCACGTTCATTCACAAACACTTCCGGGTGATACAGTCTGCAGGCTGTCTTCTCACTTCATTGGTAAATTTATTTTGATATTGGCTATATATTTGTGTGGTAGCATTTACACTGTGGATCTTGATAAAAACTTGAATGGGTCGAAACAGCGACCAGGATGATATTGTTTTGTTTTGATTTAAACCTTATTAAAAACACAGAATTTTGTATTTGAAGACCTATGAGTGCACCCAGTGCACCAGTTTCTCTGAAACAGCTATGTTTACCACAGACAGGGTTAAACCTAGATGGACCTGGCACCCAGACCACTTTATTGAGGTGTTATGGGTGCCTATAGTGGTCCTTTAAGTATATTTTATATATATACATATATACACATACATATATACATATACACACACATACATACATATACACACATAATTTATATCCCTGTGTAAGAGGTCTAGGAAAAACCGGTATTATTTCTATATGCAACACTTGACTAAAAAGGAAATTTGGGATATATTAAGTTGCTATGGTAATTAGACTTGGACTAGAATTAGTTGCTATGGAATTAGTACAAAACCCACACACAACCCATCCTATAGAATTTTGATATAAAACCCACCAGACCGTTTCCATGAACCACGGATATAGGGTCTTGTAATCGTTCTTGAAATCAATCCAACGACCTAGCCTTGTCACACTAGTCTGTTCGCCAGAAAAAAAAAAAAAAAAAATACATGTGTATTGAGTTTGTGCAGCATATATGTTTTCCATCAAATTATCAACAATTACAAAGTGCATGTTACAGTCTGGACTGGCATTAACCCTTTTCAGTCAAAATGACGATCAGCGTGAGCAGATCAAATATTCCAGACAAAAACACTACCATCTACAGACAGAATTAATCTCCAGATAAGACAATGAGATCCCCAAGCAACCACAATATAATCTCCAAATTGTCTCCTCATACCTCCCATTCCTGTGAGTATCTCATAACAATCCCACGGCACTGTTTGTTGTACTCAGCGATTCCCATTCGAGCTACATCTTCAGGTCCCTTAATTCCAAGTGTCTTATCAATCTCATATTCCTGCAGGAGAAACAAAAGGATCACACAATCACAGATGCTGATGTAAAACTAGGGGACAGTACCTACATCGTCACCATTAAAGTGAGCAATCATGTTTATGGCAATTAAAGTGCCTTTAAGTGTACAAAGAAAACATACCACAGGTAAACCGTGGCAGTCCCAGCCAAACCGCCTCTCTACATAGAATCCACTCTGGTGAGCGAATCTTGTGACAATATCCTTAATTGTACCGGCAAGTATATGCCCATAGTGAGGGAGGCCTGTTGCAAAGGGTGGTCCATCATAGAAAGTGTATCTATAGGGAAAAAGAGAAGATGGGGGATTCATTTGCACAAAAAAGCAAATTTCAAACATTAAAAAGGGCATTTCAAAATAGATAAATGTATTATTAAAGGGACACTAAAAGCACCAAAACAACTTTAGATTCATGAAGTGGTTTTGGTGCAGAGATCATGCCCCTGTTCTCTCGCTACTCAATTCTCTGCCATTTATGATTGAATTCAATTGTTTAGGCATGTGACCGACAGTCTCCTTTCCACACACATTTCCTGTAAATAGAGTACTAATTTATAAACTTCCTTTATTGCACATTCTGTTTAACTTAGAATCTCTTATCTCCTGCTCTATAAATAGCATGCTAGAGTCTGCAGGAGCCTCATGTTTTTGATTAAAAGTTCAATTTCCAGAGGAGATAAAAACGTAAAACACACTGTGCTGCCACATCTGACCAAAAAAAAAAGATACTATTTTTTTTTTTTTATGTATGCTGTGCGAGACGTAGTCATGTGTGCTGTGGCTAGGGCTGCATAAAAACAAACAAAAGTGGTTTAACTCCTAAATGGCAGAGAATTGAGCAGTGAAACTGCAGAGTCAAAATCTATACATTAAAACTGCTTCTTTACACTAAAGTTGTTTTGGTGCTTAGAGTGTCCCTATAAAGACAAACAGAAATTAGTAATTAGCAAATAATTAACCCCTTCAAACATTTGTGTATTTGATGCCAAAGACTACATCTCCCATGAACTTATGGGAGATTTAAAAAAATAAAATAAAAAACACATCTGGAGGCTCAATACTTATCTACCTTTGCATTTGGCCATAATGTATAAATATTTGCATTCGTTGTCTATATATAATATTAAAAATAAACATAAGGTCATACATTAAATACATTTTTCAATTTTTAATAAAAAAATGAATGCTGCATTTACATCTTAAAAAAATAGTAGGAACTAAAACCTCATTAAACTAGCCAAGGTATAGCACATGTACATTAATGCTCAAGAGATAATTTGTAATATAAATTCAGAACACGGTATTTTGTAGGCATACTTCAATCACAGCACATCCAGGCACTCCTGTTTCTGGGAGGTGCCTTGTACAGTAGTGATTGGATATGATATTATGTGTGTGGGTGCAGTGGTGAGGTTACACTGTTATTGGAGACCTGGCTAAAGCTCTTGAAGGAGAATAGCTCACAGCACCAAAACGTGTTAAGGATGTCTGAGGTAGTGCAAAGGGAGGAAACGTCGTTCTAGAAGACAGAAAAGCAATGCAAACACAGTCTTTCCGATGGATAGAATGCTTTCATTACACCTATTAATATACAGAACTGCCTAGCTAACATGTGTATTGTCAGCTTCCTCATTCCTGTTCACAGCAGAATCTATACTGCTATGTCCCAATTTGCTTAATTTGTTTAAAAATTACGTTTCCACAATTTGATAGGGCAAAATTTTTTTAATAAAATTCAGGGTTGTTCACTAAACTTAGCATTGTAGAGAACAGAGAAAGTAATTGTGTTTAGGTAAAAAATGTCCAAAGTTGTACATTTGAGGATTACGAGAGTTCTGCAGTACCACCATTTTGAACGAATGTTTTACATTTCCTTCTCAATTCCCTACACCTTGTAATGTTTAATTCTCTTTACTGCTTTAGCTATTAATACTGCGTATTTCACAGGTACTGAAACAAGAGGATGTGTATAGAACTTTGAGTGTTTTCATTGTAGTGTTTGCAGCAAACTGACAGCTAAACATTCTGTGGTTTATTCACCAAATAGCTAATTGTAGCAAACTAAACATTCCAGATTTAAGATAAAAAAGATTTAAATTGGAATGTTCATATGTGTATAAGGGGAGAGGGAGGGATAGATAGATGGATAGGATAGATAGAGATAGAGAGAGAGATAACTAAAAACAACTAAACAAAAATCACTAACTTGAAAGCAATGTCAAAGTTTTTTGTCTGATTTGTTCTTTATTCACTTGAAATTGCTGCTTACCAGAAGGTACCAATCTAATCTACGGATCAGCTACAACAGTATCCCCAAAGATAGGTCACTTGTGTAAAGTAAGAGAGGCTTAATGAATTACCATTTTAGTTGGTGTGCTTCCCAAGGTAAGTGAATTTGCAAGTTTCTTTAAAAAAAGAAAAAGAAAAAAAAAAGAGACATGGGAAAATGTACAAGAATGTTGTACCCCTAGAAAAGCATTGAAAATTGGGAGTAAGTATGCAAACAGAGGACAGATGAATGTCGGTGGCTAAGCAGAGGGTCACTGATGAATTGCACTTGGCAATTAGCTAATTTGAGACACAATTTTAGAGAGCGTTATAGGCATCTACAGCATGTTTAATCCTATCCTACAGTACATAGGAAGCCAGTGTGAACACGGAGCAAAGAGTGTGGGAAGACCGGATAGTGAGTGTAAGAGGGTAATTTGGGCATCTATAAGACCAATAAAGACTGGGTTGCATTAATCAAGCAGGCATAGACATACGCCTGGCAAGGTGATTACATGAAAAGAGGAATCGGGACAGCTAGACAGTGAAAATAAAGATAACAGTAACAAAAAGGCATGATGGACCAATATGTATCTGTTGCAGCTATTTATTCCAGTATATCATGGTAGCTTGTTTAGTTGAAGACCTGATCCCAGTGAACCACCAGAAATATGGGATAATAAAAAAGAAAATATACATTCATGCAAGTGAATATTAATTAATTTTCACGTGTCTATGTACATTTTTAACCTGTATATATTCCTTCTAATTTTGATTAAAACATTAAAAAGATATACGAAAGGGATACATCTATCATGTTTAAAAATAAAAAAATGTAATTAAAAAAAATAATTAAAAATAAAAAAATACATTTCAGCTAAATCAATTTCTATAAAAATAAATAAAACTTTAATATGAAGGTTTGATCTCAGCAAAAAAATAAATACATTATTACTCAATTAAAATAAAAAAAGAGCTCAGGATATGACCAATGCAAATCAAATTACTTCTACTAGTGAAGGTCACGGTATAAAATCATTGCAATCCTGTTTTGGTCTGAAAATAATCTATCCCCGTTAAAGAAACACTCCATAAGCCAGGAGTACTACAGCCTGCTGTATGGTTATCGTGTCAGTAAATCCCAGGCACCCTCCCAGAGTAAAGCGTAAATAGTCAAATTGTTTTAGGCCCAGAACAGTCACCTGCTCGTATTTTACAGTAAAAGAGTTACATCTAAGACAAACATGTCAGTGCAGCCTTGGGCTGAGAGCTTGGATAAAAAAAATAGCAAAAAATTAAAAAAGCAAAAACTAAAATGTGCATATTAAGAAAGACATTTTAGGGCTATTCATTCAGCACATATCGATTGCTACAATTAAACAACTCATGGTATAAAGGTTAGCCATCACTTACTTGGAGTAAACCAGCTTCCTGGACTGTATGATGAATATTCTATATCCTTTTATAAGCATCCACTTTACATTAATTCTAGTCAAAGTGCCTAATAGATACTGTATGCTGGACTTACCTTCCTCCTTTTGTAAATTATGGATAAAATACATCAAATAGGCAAAATAAATAAATAAATAAATGGTAACCTAAATATCCATAGGAACAAAGAGAATGCGGACAAGAACTGGAAGCGATTGACACCTTAGCCTAGTGGGTAGGCAAACTTCGGGACTCCAGATGTTGTGGACTACATCTCCCCTGATGCTTTGCCAGCGTTATGACTGTTATAGCATTAAAGGAGTTGTACCCCACAACATCTGGAGTTCCTGAGGATGCCTACCCCTGCCCTAGCCTATACAAGGTATATCAATGATTATTGAACTAGGAGGGTCGCTTTAAATGTAATTGCTTACTACAAAACGACAGACAAATAGGAACTGGAATTTTCATAAGAGGGTGCAAACACCATTAAAGCTTCACGGATTTAAATAAATCATGTTTCTAAAATACAACCTTTTTGAAAGAATTTTAAGTCAAATTCAGACTTCAAATACACAGGATTCACACTGACATTATTTGGAGACTTCACAAACCAGGAGTCCAAATGTTTTCATCTTAATATGAATATGGGTGTTACTGTGGCCGGGCTATGGGAACCACTAAACAAATGCAGATCCCATGCAGTTCATCACAGTATCTCTGTCTGCCCTTTTATCAAAAACCGGTACACTGCATTGAAATAACAGGACCAGTTAACCACAGGGCAATCAAACTGGCACATCACAAGAAAATCACCTTTTCTGCAAGACACATTTCAATGGCATTTGTCGCATTAAATGACACTATTTTTACACTTTGTATAATGTAATATGTCATACTCCCTTTGTGGAAGAGAATATGCTAGGCGCTTTGGAGAATATACAGCCAATGTAATAAATAGCAATATGCGGTCACTAACACACCAAGAAGCACATCACAGAAAAAAAATTTTTGTTGAACATAAAGAAGCAAAAACACAGTGAAAGTTCCTGGTTAACCGACTTAAAAGTGAGCTTGTGATGTGTTTCAGTGAATTTATCATTCATCTTCAAAAATAAATTATATATATTGCATTTCATATGGAGCTATGGATTCAATAATTACCTCCTGTTTAGTGCCATTGGTGACAATACTTTCCTGGGTTTGTAGGTGTAACACTCACCAAATCCCATCTACAATCCATCTGATGGCCATATGCCCTATTTAGGAAGCATATCACCATTTATTCCTCTAAAATTACACGACTGCCAGCAAATCTCTGTGTGAACTGCGTCTATATTCCTTGGCAAAACATAAGAATCTTGAATCTGTCATGCTGGCAATTATCACACCAACTAAAGAGCATGTGAGGTAGAAAGCCATATGGCCTTCTCTACTGGTACAGTCAACCTTTCTAGAGGTCCTAAATGGCCTAATGAATCAGTGAATTATTTTTTCTATCTGGGTAAATTGATTTATCAGGAAGGGGCCTAGGAGTAGCCAGTCAAGAGAGGCAAGAACAGGGCCCATGTTAGATCATGAGAGACATATTGGCAGGTACTTTAAAATGACAGGGAGAAAAAAAAATATATATATATAGGGAAGTGGTATGAAAATGCTTGTTAGAGGGCAGGAGAAGAAACAAATGTTCTTTAAAATGTGCATAACTGAATGAAAATTTGTAAAATAAATGAGAGAGAGAGAGAGAGAGAGAGAGAGAGAGAGAGAATTCAAAGGTCAAACATAGGTGAATAGCTTCCAAACAATGAGAGAACAATACAGTGAATATCAGAGGGGGGCCTCTCCCATTTAGAAGTCCTACCAGTCATCGATTAAAAGGGATTGATCAGGAATTACCTGGGTCGATTCTTTGACTGCTTGATGCATTCTTGGAAACAGTCCAGCGATTTCCACAAATCCAGAATCTTTTCCTCCTCTGAAGGGAAGTTAATGGTCTCAGGCACCTGCTGAGACATTGTGTAACCTGCACAAAAAGACACACTGGCACTTTAGAAAGATTAACACCCCAATGACGTTTCCAGGCCTGATGCAAAGAACTACTTTGCAAAGATGGTACAGTGTTTAGGGCATATCATTACAAGGCATTCAAATAAGCTGTGCAAGGCACGACAATTTAGAAGGAGCGCTCCAAGCATCATAACTAACTCAGCTCATTGTACTTGTTATGGTGGTATAAATCAATGGTCACTTCATCCACAACGAGAATATGCGAAAAGGGCACTTCTGCATTAGTAAGTGCGATGCCGTCAGCCATCCACAGATAGAATAGGCTGAGACTGCTGGGGTGTGTTAGCCAGCTTTTTTAGAATACAGCATTGGAAATAGTTGTACTTGATAATGCAGAAGTGTAGTAACCACTACAATGGCAGTTAGGGTGGCCCTTTAATGTGGTATGAAATAGTTAATCATTCAAGTGTTTTTAATATATAAACCACTGGCGGTATGCACTAAATCTAGACAGAACTAAGATGAACATTTTACATTTTCGTCACAAATGTGCAATTTCCTTTTTCTTTTTTGCTCTCCACAATTCCCTGTTTAATGGCAAACACCATATGTCTTTGTACATCACATTTTATATAAATACAATAATAACAATGTCAGATATAATTATTACTGTTACCAGGCTATGAGAGCTTTAAAAAACCCCTATGCTACCACGCATAAAATCACAGCATTAATAGTGGCCCTTTTAGTGTTGTATGGAAATCACAGACTACAGTAACCACATGCCCTGGTGTACATTCCCTGATCATATATGTTTAATGATTCAGCAAAACAATTTACTTTTGTTAGTATGCATTTCTTCCTACTTAAAAATAAAGTGTGGCAAGTACACTAAATGTATGTCCAGATACTTGGAAAACTTCAGCGCTAAAAGAAAAAACACTTATAGAATATATATATATTTATTTTATTTTTAAATTAAAAAAAAAAAATAAGAAAATAGATTACCAGTAATCAGAAACAATAAATGCAATTAAACAGATGGTAATCAATAGTAAGATAATTCCATAATCCAATTAGATAAGAAGTCCAAATATGGCATGCAATCTGACATATAAAGTCAAGGAAGCATAGTGTTCACTGTATACCAAACAATTATATGCAGACACATACTATATATAAAATCTCACATTTCATAGTATAGGTACAAGCACATCTTAATGTCTTTAAATCCAAAGCCAGGCATAAGCAATAGCATCCCAATGTTTCACCCAATGTTCCTATGGGAAAGCATCGGATTAGCTTGATTGTCAAATTTGATGACCTCTGGCAAGGAGGCGAAGCAAAGCAGGGTCAGCCACAATGAGACCGGGCGGAGTGCTAGAAGAAAGGTGAGTAAAATCACCTTTTCAAAGTAAGCAGAGAGGGGACAGGGTACCTAAACTGTAGTTTTATAACTATAGTGTAAGGAATAGATGTTTGTATCCATGACACTATAGTGTTCGTTTAAGTCTACTGATCGCATTTTTAAGTTTTTCTTAGAGTGTGGTGTGGTCAATCTGATTGTCCGTTGAATTTAGATATCTGTACAGTGTAGTTTCATTCTGGTTTCAATTTCCATATCCCTAAGATGTCTTGCTTTACCCTTTCTTTAATTTTTAGGAATCTTTTGTCTGTGTAATTCTTCCTAGTAGGATGAGTCACAAGTGGAGTAACTAAGTAAAAACACATAAAGTAAGTTACCGTGGAACACAAATTTCCATAGGATGTTATAATTAATTCAAATACTACAATTTAGAGATGTGCTTTCTCTCAGTTTGCAGTAGTCAATTTTCCAGCTAAGTCTATTAAAGGCTTTTTTCCTAATAAATTATTCTTGTTTGCCTTCCAGCCTTGCATTACTTGCAGCTAAGTTTGTGGGTCCCTTTTCTAAACCCATTATCATTATCAGGATTTATTGCCCACCTTTTTCTCCAACTCCATTGCCCCTCTAAATAAGAGGGAACTGGTTTTTTTTGGAAGTTTTAACTTATATTAGTTGGATCCAAAAATTGAATATTCTGTTTGTTAAAGGCATTAATTGATAAAATAAAATAAAAAAAATGTATGAGATCACATTGATTGACTGTGTGGAAATCTCACTGAAATTCCAACCCAGTCGCGCGACGGAGCCACCGTCGATGGAGCAATGGATGGAACGTGTGGAGGACATATACAGTATGGAATCCCTCTCGGCATCGCTACACGGCACGGGAGACAAATGTGCTACCACCTGGCTCCCTTGGTGCACCTATATAGCCCAGGGATGAACCGCAGCGATCAGGGACGGATGCCACTAGGTAGCGGAGAACTAGGGAAGCACTTGACCCGCCCCACAGTGACCATATGAGATACAGGAACCCGCCTACCTTTTTTTTTTTTCTTTCCCTTGCATCTCCTTTCTCTTTCTCTCCCACTGCTCCCCTCCTTCCCTCCCCCCCCTTGCCTCCGGGCCTGACTCTTGGCCCCCCTTTTCCCTCCCCCCAGTCAGGAGGTCATTGGCACGACAGTGTTGGTCAAGGGATGCGGGGGATGGGGGGGACCCATGGCCCGGACGGGTAGTCTGGTGGGGGGCCTGGGAGGGGGGGGGGCACATTGGAGGGGGACAGCTATTAGAGCCGAACCCTGGACTGGGAACACAGTCAGGTCAGACGGGGGGGGGAGGCGGACGTCCCACACTGGGTACCCTGACCAACTCAACGGGTACGCAACCATATCAAACCTGACGCGGCGGACAGGGAGCTGACACGCCCCACCCAGCACCAGTGTACCTGCGGCTCCCCACGACTGCTTCATGACTGTCCACTAGATCGGTCCCTTAGCTAGGGAACACCTTCCCAACCTGACAAAATGGAGAGAATCCCCACCAAGACACCGACCTGACCCTCGACCTACGCTGGCCAAACACACTTCAACTATATACATAGCTTACACTCTTGCATACACGCGAGATACCAAGAGACAAGAAGGGCGCTCTACCAGGATGACAGCCCACAACTAAAAGCCTCACCCCACAAGGGCTTTCATGCAGGGCTTGTTACAGTTCGCTAAAAGTTGCTTGTTACTATTATTTTCTACCCAAGGTAACTGACGAGAGCATTGACACGGGATGTTATGTATTCGGCCATATCTGAGCTGTAAAACCCCGATTGTTATCCTTTTTTCCTTCTGTATCCCATACACTTTATTATCTCAATAAAAACTGATTGGTTAAAAAAAGAAATTCCAACCCAGTCAAAAGATATTCCATACACCTGGCAAAACGTGGCAATGAAATGGACAGATAAAGAGCTTGGAGCTGAAAAAGGACCCACCGGATTTAGATAGCAGCAGCCAGGAGGGGCAGTTTCAGGTAAGTATAACTCACCTTTCCCTGCACCCATATGCCACCGCACTGCAAGAGGAGCAGTCGCCATCGGGGTGACTGTCTTTGCTGAGCCTCTTAAATTTTCGAAACAATTCCCCATGTTAAAGAGTAAACTCGATACCTGATCTTGAGTCATCAACTGATAATTTCCAATATGAGTTCCTGCAGATGTACAATACCCAAATGCCCTACTATGGAAGGAATTTCACCCTTGTGCATAAGGGTCATAATTATGGCACATACAAACCCAATATGACACGACCATTTACAAAAAAAAAAAAAAGGTTCTGGGATGTTATTTCAAATACAATAGTCTGGATATATGAGAGGGCATTGGTCAAATGTCAACAGTCTCAGCCCAGCCCATCATTACTAACAAATTAGAGATCTAAACCAAGACCAGATCTACAACCAGCTATACATCTAAAGCTTTGCATTCGTATAACAGTCCACCACACTGCATCTTTAGTGAATCTTAGTCTGATAATATATTCACAATATAGAAAAAGGCAAGATATGTACCAATCTCCAAAAAAAGTGGAGAGAAAACTTTAGGATCAATTGACATACCCACAGCCACATGTCCTGTACTATCTGAAATCATGGAAAATGTGCCCACGTTCAACAGACTAAGTAGTGACGGAAAAAAGTCCACGCTTCTGACCACAGTACAATCTGACTTTGGCTTAAGCCTCTCTGCCATAACTAGGTTTTCAATGATATGACATGGAACAAAATGAACTAACTGAAGCTATTTTCCTTGACTTTACACATATATTTGGTGTCATTGACTAAAACATTACATTAAAAATGTCAGCTGTAGGTGAACAACCCCTATAACTGGTTCCATTCTGGATTATAAGACAGAACCCAATACTTATGCATTGACAACAATTCTCCCTACCCACTCAAACGTTGCATGTGAAATTTCCCAAAAGTTACATACCAGAACTTTATCACACTAATAGATCATGCACTCAAGGCTTAGCTGTGTGCAGATAAAACCATAATCAACACTAAGAAAAACACAGCACATGTGGCTGTTTAAAGGACCACTATAGGCACCCAGACCACTTCAGCTTAATGAAGTGGTCTGGGTGCCAGGTCTAGCTAGGATTAACCCTTTCTTCTATAAACATAGCAGTTTCAGGGAAACGCTTCTCACTGTGATTTTCACAGTGAGAAGACGCCAGCGTCCATAGGAAAGCATTGAGAATGCTTTCATATGGACTGGCTGAATGCACGCGCGGCTCCTGTCGCGCATGCACATTCAGCCGATGACGGCGATATGGAGGAGCAGAGTTCCCCGCCTGGCGCTGGAGAAAGAGGTAAATTTAACCCCTTCCACCCCCTAGAGCCCGGGGGGGGCACCCTCAGGGCACTATAGTGCCAGGAAAATGAGTATGTTTTCCTGGCACTATAGTGGTCCTTTAACAGCAAACTCTACAAGGATAATACATGGATCTCCAAAAATAAAAAGGTTCTAAAATCTTTTAATCTTTTTCAGCATCTAACTCTACACTTCTACAACAAAGAAGCAGATCATACAGCATTATGATACTAAAATCACCTACCAGAAATCAGCAAATCTTTCTCAAGCCTGTGTTCTGTGAAAATGACAGTCTTCAGTCCAACCAAATCTGTCACCCTTTAACAATTACATACATTAATATTTTGCTGATATTAAATGTGTAACCTAGTAACACTATTGCATTGTTTCCACTTATCAGAATGTAACTGAAAATGAAAGAAATCTAAAGGAAATATTCATTTTAAAAATGTTCTAAATAAATATTTTTGGTTGATTTACTAGGCAGGTCTTATAGCAGGAAACAATGCTGTTAGATTTGGCATGCACTATAAACTTGGGTTTTATGATCCATATAACAGATCTATAAGTAAGTAAAAGCAATGCTTTGAAATAAATAAATTACAGATCAAATAGATCACTGACTCATCCAAAAAGTTGCAATAGTACCTGAAAGCTAGCTGATGCAGAAAACAATGTGTAATACCAAAGACAATTCCTGAGGATTAACTAAGAAGTTATACAATAGACTTGTCAAAGGAAATGCCTTGTAAAAGGAGAGATCCAACAATTATGTAGTATATGCTGCATTACACACGTTACAGTGCATTGCATAGAGTATAGATCTACCTGTAGTGACCCAATATAACCAACCCAGTCTAAAGAAAATGCAGTTTTCACTGTATTTAAAGAAACTCTTGCATCCATTGGATTATTGGAATGAGCATACTTCTTACCCTTAAACACCTACAGACAGCAGTAGGCTTAACTACCGTAATATTTAACCAAAATATACAAAATAATGTGCAATATTGAGTGGCACTATATGTGTTATAAGTGCAGCCAATTCCAACTACAATCCAATTCAATCAATATCACTACACCCGAGGAAGACCCTAGTGTGTCGAAATGCGTTGTGTTTAGAATCATCAGACTGAACTTACTACGATGGAAGAATTAATATGTTTTTATGTGAATAAATTGGATGAATTGTTTGAATTTGGTACCCTTTTCTCTATTTCTCATTGGAGAGGAACTAATTACAAGATCTACCCATAAGTTGTTACCACTCCTGGGCTAGTATTTTAAGGTAAAGTATTATATATAATGTAATACACTAAGCCACTATAATGTAATACACTAAGCCACTGAACATTTTTATGTAACTGCAATATTACACAGAGTGCGCCAACCTTTTTCTGTTTTAGGTTAATTTAATATTTAAAAAGGTAAACTACATACATATTAACACTAACATGATACCTATAGAAACATACCACCATATTGATGCAGATATATTTGGGCCAGTTTTACAAAAAAAAAAAAACCTCCAGGAGGTAGGAAAGATATTTCAGGTTCATGAACATAGGTTTAGCACTGTTTTTGCTATAGAAAGATGTGAACAGGGTAGAATTACAGTAAGGTGAGGGGGAAAGGATTAAGAAGTCTAATTTATTATTCTATTCCAACCCAAGCCATTAATGTGCTCAACAAATAAGACTTAATATAATCTTAGGAATAAAAAAATAAATACAAGTCTATAGGCATCTAAAATTTATCGCAACCTGCAATATCACTGCTGATAAGTATTCTTATATTTAAGACACATGTTAAGGGTGTATCTTACACTGTTATTTATCACTCTGTGTTTGTATAAGGATTCACTGTTTAGGTGTTGGGGCAGCACCGTTCGTGCAATTTTCATCCATTAGAAGTGCCATACATTTGCCGAGATTTTACATAAATATCTTTGCATTATGCTATACAAATACCGAACACATGTAAAAAGGAAACAAAAAGTAAATATACTTCCTGGTCAGTGTGTTGTGATCTTGCAAATCACTTGAATAAGTGATGCATTCCAAATATCTAATGCATGAGATTTATATTTATAAATGGTGCCCCTGCTGAATATTTATGATCCCATTGGACTAAACATAGGCCAGCTTGTCATCTCTTGTTATGGGAATAAACATGTTTTGATCAAATTTCAATTTGGAGATGGGCTCTCACTTTACTCTGCTAGCATTTTAGCTAAAGCAACTTATAAAATCACATGTAATTGTTCACAAAATGTCATTATATATTGTGTGCAGATAAACTTTAAAGGGTTACTCCAACCCTTTTGGATGGGTAGACATTTCCGGTTTAAAATGCCCTTTTGGGCACTATGGACAAGGTTCCCCTCCGTTTGTTGTAAAAACTGCAAATAAAAGCACTTTACTTTGAATGAAAGATTCTGGCGCTAATCTTCCACGCCCCATGTGAATATCACTGGGGCTTCGAGAAGTCCAATCGTAGGCTTCTCATAGAGAAGCCTGTGATTGGTCCGTTTTGGTGGCTCAAACCACATGCGCATCCTCCAGGCCAGGAAGGGGAGGTAAAATTTAAATAAATATTGAAGAAAAAAAAATAAAAAATACCGGAGGGCATGAAGGGAAGGGGGGCCAATCGTCCCATTGCAGGCGCTCTACCAGCAAGGGAGAAGATTTCTATGTCTGCTGTCAGCGTGCAGTACACATTAATGACACTTTTTTATTATTATTTTTTTTTTTTTTTTATGCACAAAATTGCCCAGACTTCTGGGCTACTAATGTCACTTGTGCTGGGGGTGAAACTATAGAAAAGTTAAAAAAATATATATATATATATATTTTCATTATTTCCTACTATGGCAATACAGCATTAAACTTATGAATGCACTTGTGTGACACCCAAAATAAATACAAACTGAAGAAAAATGTAAACCAATTAATTTTTCCAGTGGAACCCTTTGACATAGTGTATCAACATTGTGTTTCATACACCATCGCACCTGTTTTTGTATGTACCACACACAGCAGTACAGAGATACACACACCTTGACACACAGTGTGTATATGTATGTATGTATGTGTGTGTCAAAGTGTGTGTATCTGTGTTTGTATGTGCCAGTGTGTATGAAACTGACACACAAATACACACACAGTGGCAGATAGTGGCACACAGATACACACACAATGTATCTGTGTGTCAAGGTGTGTGTATCTATGTTTCAAAGTGTGTTATCTGTGTTTGTATGTGCCGGTGTATGCGTTGCTGTGTCTGTGTATGTATCTGACACACATATACACACTGATACACAAATACACACAGTGAGATATACACACACTTGCACCCAGAGATACACACTGGCACACACACTGACATACACACACACACACAGTGGCACATACACAAACCTTGACACACAGATACATACACTCTAACTGACAAACAGACATACTCTTGGGCAGACACACATTCACTCTTACTGACAAACATCTTTTACAGACACATACAAACACATTCACGCTCACTGACAAGAACACATTCACTCTTTGACAGATACACAAACATATACAAACTCCCTAACAGACACGCATACAATTTTTTTTATTTTTTTACATTTTACTCCACCAAGCCCCCCTACCTTTAGGAGTGCTGGCATGGAGTCGCTGGGCTCCAGTGGGGCTGCTGAGTGGTTGGCGTGCAAGCAGCGAGGGAGCAGTGATCTCCCTCGCGCGCCTCTTAGTGAGGTCATTTTCCGGCTCCAGCATCACTGCTCAGCGCGCGAGGGAGCTGAGCAGGGAGATCACTGCCCACTGCTGCCTCACCGCCCACGGCCATTTAGTTTTTTACACTTTTGGAGGAACACCAATTGGGAAACACTGGTTTACAATAACAACGTTCTTAATACTTTATTTGAATCTAAATGTATTATAATCAGAGATGATGACCACCTTTAAAAGGCACAGGCAACACTCTAAAAACCCTTGTGTATATATATATATATATATATATATATATATATATAACGTGTCTTATACCCCACCTCCTATAGACTATAAGCTCATTTGAGCAGGGTCCTCTTGAACCTATTGTTCCTTTAAGTAATTGTCCTATTTATAGTTACATCCCCCCTCTCATAATATTGTAAAGCGCTACGGAATCTGTGGGCACTATATAAATGGCAATAATAATATAAAAACATTAGGAAAGTACTGACAAGTGAACTTATTTATATAACCCTAAGATGAATATAGATTAACACAGTTACAGAGTAAACAGAGAAATGACAGGAAAAGTTTAAGTCCAAACTAGCTAAACTGGAAGCACAGCTGACTTGGAGATTTTGTTTCCAGTTCGGCCATTCTGGCTTTAAAATTTGGACTTTGAATTCTCAACAAATTCTCACTTTAGTGAATAAGACCAAGACGTTTAGCAGAGGTAAGGGGGTTGCCAGACCCAGCAGCACATGAAAAGTGCTGTCCTGCAGTATGTAGCTTTCACATGCTGCTGTATGTAGAATTCACATGCTCCTCAAATTACTTTTTTTTATTTTATTATTCCAGCAACATAACTTGTAGATAATGCAGAGGAGCACATTTCATGTGCTGCCCATCAATATGTAATGGAAGGCCAAGCAGGGAAGATGGCAGGAGTCAGGGCTGCATTGAGTTAAAGGGACTGTGAGCCCCTCGGCCATGTGCTGCCTTGCTATACATTCCTTCCGTGCTCTGCCTCCCTCCTCCCCTACCCTCCCCTCCCGGCTATCACTGTCCTCTCACCAGCCCGAGCTTCTCTGTTTCGCTTCCGTTCCTCCGAGCCCGTGTGTGGGCTGCACTATAAGCCGGTTACCGGTAGGTGACAAAATGATGCAATGGGGAGGAAAGCATGAGCGGAAAAGGAAGCGACAGCAGAAGCCGGAGAGGGACGTGTTCATTCTGGCCAATCAGTGCTCGCCTTTCTTTCACCCGATGAGAGCGAAGCTGTGATTGGCCACACCGTTTCCTAGCAACTTATAAATAATGTGAAGGGCCTAGGTTTCTACTGTCAGTTCTGGCCTCAGACATGTCATTGGTAGACAGGAGCATGGCAGTGACTGGCAGTATAGGCAGCTCTCTATTGTCCTTGTACTTAGTATAGTCAAGAACTATAGCAGTGAACTATAGCAGTCCTTATTGTAGGAAATGCAATTCCCTGGGATAAAATAAACCTTATAGGATCCAGATTAAAATAGTAGAATAAATGGCTATTTCAGCGGTGATTTTTCAATGTTGGAAAAAATTAACAAACAAAACCACGTCACATAGAATTCCTGTTAATTTTAAATGTGCACCCGGAGCAACAGAATCGTTTTATATCACTTAAAATAACACACCAAGCACCATAACCGTAGTGGTTTTGGTGCCAAGAGTGCCAGACACACTCCCAAAGTAATCTGACAAACCTTCTTAGATAACGTCGACAATTTACCTGGGTCTCCCAGATGGAAAAGCACTGTCAGAAAAGGAAAAAAGTCACTAGTGTGTGATGAATGGAGTGGTAGTTTTATTCATTAAAAAACTGGTGCAAACATGAAACTGAATACAACAGTTTATACATAACCCCCACAGAATAAGTTCAATGGGTCACAAGTTTCAGAGTACATTCTCATAATGTAAAGGAGAAGAGAGAAATAATAGATGTGGGGAAAGTAGGAGAAAGAGGAATATTTCTGTCCCAGCATTGGTTATCCCTTGATCGGTGTATCTGTATGACTTGACTGCTCCACGGAGGCCTCCTCTCTGCTGTGCCCAGAGCCGTCTTATCGCATGGGCACACTGGGCAGTTGCCCAGGCGCCCCCATGAGCATAGGGGCCCCATAGGCTTGACAACTTTTCAGTATATTATTCCGGGACATTTATTGAGAGCCTTCAAACCCTCTTTATAAAAACGTTTCGATGGACTAATCACTTCGGTATCAGCTGTTATCTGCACATGCAATCTTGCTGTTATGAAAACAAATCTTGGCCTCGACGAAAAAAACGTACAAGTACTAATTGTACGTAAGACAAAATCAACACATAATTTTAAAGTTCTTCTAATATTTTTAACAATCCATGTCAGTTGCCTCCCTCTGCTACCTATTAAACATGAATAATGAAAGAAATGGAACAGAGCGCAATTAAGTTTGAAGGCAATGACACAACAGTGGCTTTGTTTCAGTTTTCTTTGACTCTGCTCTGCACCCTTTGACGCAAAAATGTGTTTAAATCTGCTGTTTCTCCTTTTCTTCTTCCTGTGGGTGGTTGTGTAGGCAGAACCCCAGAGCACTGCTTTGCCCAGGGGCCTATAATGCTGTTAAGATGGCGTTGGCTGTTTTTGAGCCCTACCTGAAAAATAATTAAGTGCTTTGGACTAAAGAGTTGAGTGCATATCAGCAATCCAAATAAACCAGGTATCACAATATGGTCATGGGTTTAAAAGCACTCACATAAAACTGAATGCCCCACCAGATGAAACTGAACTTGTCTTGAATTTTATTTGAACATCGAACCAGACTTAACCCAGTAGTTCCCACTTGGCCTACTGTAAGATTCACAGGGATATTTGCAGTAGTATAGGTTCTGTGTTTTGTTTCCAAGTCCCATTTTTTTCCCAAAACGTCTTTTTCATCTGTTTATTTTGTTTGTGTATGTCTTGTTGCTTTGTGTAGTTTTTGGCATTAGAATTTCTTTTGTCTGTTTTGGTATTAATATATAAATAGTTTAATTCTTGTATTTGGGCTCCAGTATCTGGATTCACAAACAGATACAATAGTTTTTTGCAATTTGCATAGATATTGTTCTAAATTGTGACCCCAAAGCACTGGGGTACATACAGCGGTTGCAGGGGTCGCAGCTGCAACCGGGCCCGTCACTCCAGCATTGGCGGATCCGGGGGGGGCAACCGTGCAATTGCCCCCGAGAAAATAGTGAGGCCGATCAGTGATCTCCCTCCCCGGCAGTGATCTCCCTCCCCGGCCCACACAGGCACTTTGCTGGCAGCCGGCAGGGGAGGGAGAGAGAGAACCCGGGGGAGCTCTTACCTGCTGCTCCGCCGGGTTCTCCTCTCGCGATCACGGAGCGTTGCCGCGGTTACCACGGCAACGCTCCGTTCTCGCGAGAGTGAACTCTAGCCTAAGCTGCAGGTTAGAGTTCCCTCTCACCACTAGAACCACCAGGGATTGGAACAAAGCAATGTCTCCCCCTCCCTCAGCACAGGTAAGAAGGGAGGGGGGATATTAACTATATTTATTTAGCTATTATTTAATAATTTTAAAAAAGATATATCTTTAATCTGCCCCCTATCTCCTCACACACTGCACCACATACAGCCCCCCCTTACATACACAGCCCCCCTAACATACACAGACCCCACGTTACATGCATAGCCCCCCTTACATACACAGCCCCCCCCATACACAGCCCCCCCATACACAGCCCCCCCTTACATACACAGCCCCCTTACATAAACAGCATTACATACACAGCCCCACCCTTACATACACAGCCCCCTTACATACACAGCCCCCTACATACACAGCCCCCTTACGCGCAGCCCCCACACACTGCCTCCATAAACACACACACATAGCCCCAAATACACACACTGCCCCCTTATACACACTGCCCCCCTTAAACACATAGCCCCAATACACACACACAGCACCACTCACACACAAACACACTGCACCCTTTACACACAAACACACTGCTCCCAATATACAAATTGCTACTACATACATACACTGCACCCCTATCACACACGCACTACCCCTCCATACACATACTGCGACCCTCACATACACTGCACCACTCACACACACACACACACTACAGCCACTATCCCAGCAGACCCTGGGTAAGTTATCAAACGGTTTTTTTAAACGGTTTGACTACTTACTCTGGGAGGGCATCACAGCAAATCCTGGCACAAAAACCACTACAGAGAGCTGTAGTGGTTATTGTGCCTGGATTGTTTCTTAAAATGATCTGCCAGTGCCCCTCCCGAGATTAGCTTCTGGATCCGCCACTGCTTTCTACAGTCTGAGTAGTACTGATATGTTCTTTGCTTGTGAGTTTACTGTGCTTCCATTTTTTTTTCAGTTTTTTACCCATTTGTGGATTTACACTATATATTTTCACCCTCTTTTTACGCACATGAACTACTGTGGATATTATATCCACAAGTACTTAGGGAACTAAGTACAGAAATAAGTGAACCCCTGTTTTTAATCTTTCAAGATTCTTTTCTTTCAGGAAGTGTTCCAGGGGATTGGAAGACGGCAGATGTGGTTCCTATATTCAAAAATGGTTCAAAATCCTTGCCTGGAAATTATAGACCTGTGAGCTTAACTTCTGTGGCTGGAAAAGTATGTGAAAGGTTATTAAGGGATAATATTCAAGAATTCCTTGAGAAGAACGTGGTTATCAGCAAAAATCAGCATGGTTTTATGAAGACAGGTCATGTCAAACTAACTTGATTGCATTCTACGAAGAAGTAAGAAGAAGTGAAGATCAGGGTGTTGCAGTGGACGTGATCTACTTGGATTTTGCCAAGGCATTTGATACAGTTCCACACAATAGATTAATGTTCAAACTCAAAGAAATCGGTGTAGATGAAAATTCTTGTTCTTGGGTAGAACATTGGTTTAAAAATAGATTACAAAGAGTTGTCATTAATGGTAAATTTTCAAGCTGGACAGAGGTGGTCAAGTCCCTGGGCACACCCTAATCCCCATGGCACGCGCTATGTGCCTCCTTCTGTGGGCCGGTGAGGGAGATCAAAGATCTCCCTCACCGACCCACAGGCAGGGAGGGAGGCAGGAGAGGACCCGGGGAGCTCTTGTCAGCAGCTCCGCCGGGTTCCTCTCGCGCGGTCGGAGCGCTGCGAAAGCTCAGATCTCAGAACTCTAGTTCACTCTCCACTGGACCACAAGGGAAGGTAGGAGCACGGTCCTCCCCTCCCTACATAAGGTAAGAAGGGAGGGGGGATATTAACTAAACAGTCCCCACACATTACACACAAACATACAGCACACACACATACATCACCCTTACACACACAGCACACACACTAACAGCACCCTCATACTAACAACACCCTTACACACACAGCACCCTCACACATACACACACAGCACACACTAGCAGCACCCTTACACACACAGCACCCTTACACATACACACACTAACAGCACCCTTACATACAGCACCCTCACATACACAGCACCCTTACACACACACAGCACACACTAACAACACCCTTACACTAACACCCTCACACATGCACACACTAACAGCACCCTTACACACACTAACAGCACCCTTACACACACAGCACCCTTACACATACACACTAACATCACCCTCACACACACATCACCCTTACACACACAGCACCCTCACCCACACACACAAAGCACACACTAACAGCACCCTTACACACACAGCACCCTCACACACACACACTAACAGCACCCTTACACATACACACACACAGCACACACTAACAGCACCCTTACATACACAGCGCCTTCACACACACACAGCGCCTTCACGCACACAGCGCCTTCACGCACACAGCGCCTTCACACACAGCACCTGCACACACACAGCGCCTTCACACACAGCACCTACACACAGTACCCTCACACACACAGCAGTGTGTGTGTGTGTGTGTATGTATGTGTATATATATATATATATAAATATATATATATGCGGCGTGTGTGTTTCTGCTTTAGGGTGCACACCCTTATACAATAGGCTGTGCACGCCTATGCTTGTTAGCCTATGCCTTGTTACGGCAAGTCCCTTTTTTCCGCTGCCAACAGCCATCTCATTTGGGTCCCCCAGTCAGTACAAGCTCGTGTGTAGCATAGTGC